AAAAATCAAGCAAGTATGATATAAATCATACTTTTGTTTTAGCTCTAAGTCTTGCTTAAAAGCAACAAAAAACCCCACTGAATTCTCAGAAATTTATGCAAAATACTGTTGTAATTCCTCTGCCAAAAAAACAAGCTTATCAGAACACTTGAGCAATTGTCTCCATTTGGCAAGACAGCTGGGATCAACAAGTTGATAGAACTGGCAGGCAATTATCAATTAATACTATTTCTTTCTTTGTGAGGAAGGTTAGGAGAGGGAAATGATGAGAAAATACTGAATCTGAAACTGTAAATATTAAACTATATCACTCCATTTTAGACAGTAACGGTAAGTTTAATCGCAAGGATTTGCAGAAAATTTTGGTGTCAGTTTTGCACTCTAGAATGATGTCATCTATCTTCCACGTGATCTATAATAGATGCTTGCTTTATTTCAATCAATCAGAATAGAGCTGGAAGGGATCTTGAAGGTCTTCTAGTCCAACCCCTGCTCAAGTAGGAGATCCTATACCATTTCAGACAGGTAGCTGTCCAGTCTCTTCTTAAAGACATGAAGCACCCAGAACTTCTGAAGGCAAGCTGATCTGCTCATTGATTGTTTTCACTTTTAGGAAGTTTCGCCTTAATTCCAGGCTGCTTTTCTCTCCTTGATTACTTTCCATCCATTGTTTCGTGTCTTCTGGTCCTTTGGAAAATAAGTTGATCCCCTCTTCTTTGTGGCGGTCCCTCAAATACTGGAATACTGCTATCGTGTCACCCTAGTCCTTCTTTTCTCTAGACTTGTTGTTGTTGTTAATTGCGAAGTCGTGTCCACTCATCGCGACCCCATGGACAATGTTCCTCCAGGTCTTCCTGTCCTCTACCATCTTCTGGAGTCCATTTAAGTTCACACCTCCTGCTTCAGTGACTCCATCCAGCCATCTCATTCTCTGTCGTCCCCTTCTTCTATTGCCCTCAATCTTTCCCAGCATTAGGCCCTTCTCCAGTGAGTCCTTCCTTCTCATTAGGTGGCCAAAGTATTGGAGTTTCAACTTCAGGATCTGGCCTTCTAAAGAGCAGTCGGGGTTGATCTCTTCTAGGACTGACCGGTTTGATCGCCTTGCAGTCCAAGGGACTCACAGGAGTCTTCTCCAGCACCATAGTTCAGAGGCCTCAGTTCTTTGGCGCTCAGCCTTTCTTATGGTCCAACTTTCACAGCCATACATTGCAACTGGGAAAACCATGGCCTGGACTATACACACTTTTGTTGGCAGGGTGATGTCTCTGCTTTTAGACTCTCTAGACTGGCCATACCCAATTTCTGAAACCATACTTCATGTTTTAGTTTCCAGGCCCTTAATCATCTTAGTTGCTCTTCTCTGCACTTTTTTTCAAAGTCTCAACATCTTTTTTATGATGTGGTGACCAAACTGGATGCAGTATTCCAGGTGTGGTTTTACTAAGGTTTTATAAAGCGATACTAATACTTCACTTGATTTTGATTCTATGCCTTTGATTATGCAACCAAGGATTGTATTAGCTTTTTTGGCTGCTGTCGCACATTGCTGGCTCATATTTAAATGATCATCCACTAGGATTCCAAGGTCCCTCTCACAGTTATTGTTTTTGAGTGAGGTTTGGCCTAATCTGTGCTTGTACCTTTAGTTTTTCTTGCCTAAGTGTAAAACCTTGCTTTTCTCTGTCAAGATCCATTTGGATCCCGAGCTTGTCTTCTGGGGTATTGGCTATTCCTGCCAGATTAATGTCATCTGCAAATTTGAGGAGTTCCCCTTCTATTCCCTCATCTAAGATATGTATATTAAACTTGTATCCTGCTTGATTCTCAATAACTCCTTTGCTGACTCATAACCACCAAAAGCTCTGATTTGTTACAGTCACCCATGACACAGCTTGACACAAAGATGACATAATTAGATCTACCTACATGACATTGATTGCATGCCACCAATAGCCCTTAATATATGTCCAATAACTGGTTATTGTCTTTTTATATAAAGGTAGTCCTTGACTTACAACCATTCATTTAGTGACCATTCAAAGTTACAACGGCACGGAAAATAGCAACTTAGGAACGTTTTCGCACGACCGTTGCAGCATCCCCAGAATCACATGATCGGAATTCAGACAACCAGTGGCAACTGGTTCATATGTATGATGACTGCAAGGTCTCAGGGTCATGTGATCACCCTTCTAACAAGCAAAGTCAATGAGGAAGCCGGATTCATTTTACAACTCTGTTAGTAACTTAACAACTGCAGTGATTCACTCACTTAACATCTGTGGCAAGAAAGGTCATAAAATGGGGCAAAAATCACTTAGCAACAAAATGTGGGGGCTCAACTGCGGCTCATACATTGACGACTATTACCTGTGACATTTTTGACATTATGCACTACCTTATGCCTTTCTTTACTCATTTATTTATTTATTGGTGCCTTTAAATCACTGTTAACTTCTGACAATGGCCTAGACAAGCCTCTGCAGTTTTCTTCATAGTATTTTCAAAAGTAGTTTGCCACTGCCTACTTCCCAAGGATGAAAGTGATTGGCACCAAGTCTCCCAGCTGGCTTCATGCCTAAGGCACGACCCTAACTAACAGGTTTCTAGCCTAATAACTTAACATGGACTGGGGCTTTTGTTTTGCTTTGCTTTGTTTGCACTGTGTTGGCTCAATTTTACATTTCATACATCTTCAGTTCAGTGAAAATATTTATCGGCAAGAATAGTACTAAATGTTCTACAAATATTGGCAAGCACCAAGTGTGGCTCAGCAGTTGGCTAAAATGACAGACATGCATCCAAATGAGGATAAACATAAAATGGCTTATAGGCTTGATGGTGTAGTCTGATTCTTAGCCTCAGTTCCCTTCCTGCAAAATTTGAAAAATGAGTTCTGAGGATCCCTGAAACAAGAGTTTGCTTTTACAATTTAACTGGGTTGTTACATTTGTTCAGGTAACAGAAGGAATAAATAAATGTTAAAGAATTATTATAAAATATGCCTGCAAGTATGTGACACAACTATGGAATATGTAAATTTGGGGGCACCCAGAAACATACCCTTTAGCTTTCTGTAAAAGTGCATTAACTGTATTTTGTTAAAACAGTTTCCTCACCAAGAGAGAGCTTGGGGAAGACTAATATTATATATAGTTAGAGTAGAATCCAACTGTAGATAATTACAAATCTGGGACTGTTTCTAAGAATACTGTGGACTGCAAGGACTAGTCTGGGTCCAAATATACATGCTTCCCAGCTGTTGATTAGCAAGCAGAAAATCACATACAAGGAGTTATGGATTTGAAAAACCGTGTTTGGCATGAAGACGGATATCTGTGATTACAAAGCTAGAACTTACTGAAGACAGGTCAAGATGGTTGGTGGCTATGTCACATCTGAATAAATTAAATTTCTAAAACTTGATGGTTCCCACAGTATGAATTTTATCACTCTATGAGCATTTGTTTGGCTTGTGAAAACAAGTGATTGTTTTCTCTTTACTTTAGCTTAATTTCATATTCACTAATTCTGCATAATGAAAGGATATTGTCCAAAAACAGTTTAAGGAGAGAGCATTTTGAAAGCAACTTAACTTTTTTTAATTTGAAAATCTGGTGGGTATTGTGGACATAAAAATACTAGATGGCAGAGGGCAAAATTTGTTACTCACACTTTGGTATTTAAAAATTCCCCCTCAGTTGCTATTCCTTTTTGAAAACATGTTTTGATGTCATATGTAATTAATTTATTTAGCATGGTATCATTTGTCTCTAATAATTCGGAAGAAAACCTTCAGAACATTTTAGTGCAAAAAAATGCTTGGACAACATTCCCCAATCCGCTACTTTCCAACTATTTTGGTAGGAATTAAGGGAATTACAGCACATGTTGGGGAAGATTGATGGAGAAACTAAGACACTTACAATTTGAATTATAGCAGTGGTTCTCAACCTGTGGGTCGGGACCCCATTTGGGGTCGAATGACCATTTCACAGGGATTGCCAAACAACGCAGTCCGCCATTTTTTTCCCCCTTTTCCTTAGCTGTGCTACTCCCTTTTATTCTATTGGCTTTTGAAAGCCAATAGAATAGACTCTCTTGAATAGAGTCTAATTCTATTGGCTTTCAAAAGCCAATAGGAATTGTCCAGGCTGTCTCTGCCCTGCTGAGCCCGCCAAAAGTCCCATTCTGCAAACGGTGCTGCAAGTTGTCTGCAGCAAAGGCGAGCTGTCTGGATGTTTCCACCCCTCCCTGCTGAGCAACTACTAAAAATGTAAGTAAAAGAGGGCCAGGGGTGGGAGATGGGAGGCCGGTGGGCGCAGGGAGGGTTGCTGGCGCGTGTGGGGCCTGGCGGATGCCTTACCTCCCTTGGGCTGGGCCAGCTGGTGGCCCAGCTGGTGGTTGGCCTGCGCCGTCTCTGCCGCTTGCCAGCTACGCCTTGGCCGGCGCAGGGGGCGGCACCACGCATGTGCGGTGCTCCCGGGCAGGGAAAGTCCTCGACTTATGACCGGTTGGTAGTCCTCGACTTACGACCAGTTGGGGGTCGCGGCATTAAAATGGTTGAGAACCACTGAATTATAGGGAAATGGGCTCTTAGACATCTAGTTTGGTGTAGTGATTAAAGCACAGGGTAGAAGTCAGGAGACTGTGAGTTCTAATCCCACCTTAGTTATGAAAGCTGGATGGGTGATTTTGAGCCAGATACTCTCTCTCAACCCACAACTTCAGACTCTGGTAACTAGCCAATCAGTCAATGTTGCAGTCAAAGCTGCACATCTTGTCAGAACTGGTTGATCTGGAAAAAAAAAAGAGGACCCTGCGCTCAGTGTAAACACTGAGAAGAAAAAAAAAAGAAAATCAACCTCCACCCACCCATCTCATTAGTATACAGTAGTCTTTGACTTATGACCACAATTGAGACCAAAGCTTCTGTTGCTAAGTGAGACATTTGTTAAGTGGGTTTTGCCCCCTATCGTGACCTTTCTTGCCACAATTGTTAAGTGAGTCACGTGGCTGTTAAGTGAAATCTGGCTTCCCCATTGACTTTGCTTGTCAGAAGGTCACAAAAGGTGATCGCATGAACCCAGGACTCTGCAAATGTCACGAGTCAGTTGCCAAAACATCTGAATTTTGATCACGTGACCACAGGAATGCCACAATGGTCTTAAGTGTGAAAAACGGTTATGTCGCTTTTTTTCAGTGCCGTTAGAACTTTGAACAGTCACTAAATGAACGGTTGTAAGTTGAGGACTACTTGTAAAGTCTGCCTAGTGTACTCGTATCCCGTTTCATAAGAGAGGGAAAATGAGGCTGCCAGTCCAAAAGCTGCAGGAATCTCAGCAGCAAAGCCTTGGCTCTTGGCCTGTAGGCCAAACTTCCAGCCGGCTTCCTCCTTTACTGGTTTTGGTCATTGCTCTTTTTCCCTCCAGTCACGAAAGCAGCAGCCTTCCAAGGCAGTCAAAGGTGGCTGGCAGAGTCCAGCCACTCTCCCGCCTGCCTTTGGCTCTTGCTGTGGGGATCAGGCAGGAAGCGGGCTTTGGAAAGCTGCATGCATTCCTGACGTGCTGGTTCGGCCTGCTCTTGCTATTCTCTCTGGAAGGGAAGCAGGGCATGGCTGCGCACAGGGGACTCTGGGACCATCACAAAGGGGGGAGAGGAGCAGGAGGAGGAGGGAGACAGGCTCGCCTCGGCACACACCCCCTTAGACGGCTTATAAAATCGCGGCCGACCTGCCCGATTAGAGCAAAAACCGGGGGCAAAAGGAGGGCCCGCGCCCTCGGGCTGAGAGTCGCTGCTCCCCACAGGCGCAGAGAAGGACCCTTCCTCTCCCCCTTAGAAAGTGAAAGGGCCACAACGATGGTGCAAAGCGAGGACAGACGGGGCGGGGAGATCGCCGCGCCTGTCCAGAGCGTCTTGCAGCCGGCGTTGCTGCTTTCTTGCGCCCTCCTGCTCTACTTCTGGGCGGCGCGCAAGCGCTCCGCGGCTCCGGGCAAACGCCTTCCCGGCCCCGTCGGATGGCCGCTGGTCGGCAACGCCCTGCAGCTGGGTCGCCACCCTCACCTCACCTTTTGCGAGCTGGCCAAGCGCTACGGCGACGTCTTCCAGTTCCGCCTGGGTTCGCGCTCCATCGTGGTGCTCAACGGCGAGGCGACCATCCGGCAGGCGCTGGTGCAGCAAGGCGGGCCCTTCGCGGGCAGACCCGACTTTCCCTCCTTCCGGATGGTCTCCGACGGGAAGAGCGTGGCTTTCGGACGCTACACGGAGCGGTGGCGGGCGCAGCGGCGGGTGGCGCACGCCACGCTGCGCGCTTTCTCGACGGGCAACGCGCCCAACAAGCGGCTCTTCGAGGAGCACGTGACGGCCGAGGCGCAGGAGCTCATCGACGGGCTGGTGAAGTTGAGCGAGGGCGGCCTTTACGTCAACCCGCTGCCGCTGCTCGCCGTGGCCAACGCCAACGTGATGTGCGCCCTTTGCTTCGGGCAGCGCTACAGCCACGCCGACGGCGAGTTCCGCGCGCTGCTGGGCAGGAACGACCGCTTCGGGCAGACGGTGGCGGCGGGCAGCTTGGTGGACGTGCTGCCCTGGCTGCTGTCCTTCCCCAACCCGGTGCGAAGCGTCTTCCGCGATTTCCAGGCTATCAACGGGGAGATGCTCGAGTTCGTGCGCGCCAAGGTGGCGCAGCATCGGCTTACTTTCCAGCCCGGGACCCCTCCCCGTCACATTAGCGATGCCATCCTGGGCCGCATGGAGCACGGCCCCGGGGGGAAAGAAGGACCCCTCGGGGACTACGCGGAAAGCACGCTGACCGATCTCTTCGGCGCCGGTCAGGACACCACGTCGGCTGCCCTAGCTTGGCTGCTGCTGCTGCTTCTGAAACACCCGCAGCTGCGAGAACAGTTGCAGACGGACCTGGACCGCGTGGTCGGTCGCGAGCGGCTTCCGACGGCTGACGATCGCGCCTCCCTGCCTCGCCTGGAAGCCTTCCTCTACGAGATGCTGCGCTACAGCAGTTTAGTTCCGGTCACCATCCCGCACGCCACCACCGCCGACGTGTTCCTGGACGGCTTCCACATCCCCGAGGGCACTGTGGTTTTCGTCAACCAATGGTCTGTCAACCACGATCGGGTCTGCTGGAAGGACCCGCACATTTTTGACCCAACGCGGTTCTTGGACGTCCGGCAGGAGACTCTCGACCGGGACCTCGCTCGCCGCGTCCTGATATTCTCGATGGGCAAGAGGCGCTGCATCGGGGATCAGCTCGCGAAGTTGCAGCTCTTCCTCTTCACCGCCATCCTTTTGCACCAATGCGACCTGACGGCCAACCCAGCCGAGGAGATAAGGGTGGACTGCGAGCACGGGCTGGTTCTCAGGCCTCTGCCCTACACCTTGTCGGTGACTAGGCGAAGCACTTCCCGGGCCGAGGAGGACAGGAGCCGGAGCAACACCGACATCGCCTGCCCTTCTTAGCGCCAGCGCGACCTGCCTTGCAGAACCACCTTTAATTCTGGAGTAAGCGCCGTGGCGGGAGAGTGTGTGTGTGTGGGGGGGGGGAACAGTTGCCTTTCCTTGACTAACGTTTCTGAAATCAGCGTCTTCACTTTATCAGCAGCGGGAACTCAGACAAAGGAAGTCCTCTGTCAAATTTCAGCTGGGCTCTCCCCCCCCCCATCTGAAGATGATCAAAGCAATTGAACTGGTGTCCCCATCCCTATGTCCAAAAAAGCCTTCTCAGGCTGGTGCCCGCTTGCTGTGCTCAACTGCAACTGCCTTAGGCTCAAGGTGATCAGTAACTAAAATGTAGATGGAAAAAAGGTTGTTCTGCATCTCCATCAGAATGGTGTATCTGGTATTTTGGTTTCAGAATGCAATGTTGGGCAGAGTTATCCTGTTATAAGATGTGGAACATGCTGTTTTATTACTCTCAGCAGCTGGGTAAAATGGAGAAAAATGTCCTGGTGCTTTTCCCCCCACTATATCAATTCTGTCAAGTTAGTTGTCACTTAGGAGTCTGGTGTGTGTGTGGGAGAGGGAGGGAAGAAAGAAGGGTTGGATGCTGTGATTAACTACTTTAATGGGAAGCACTTATGGAGAAAGTGCGTGGTTGATCACAGTGACAATAAACATACCTAGTTATATACATGGGCAAGGAGCCGCAATTGGGAGGGAGTGCTCCTTATATTTGTACAGTAATTTGTGCAGTAATTCAGTTTATAACTTCTTGAAGAAGTTGTGTTGGTCTTGGGCTCACACTGAAATAAGAAAAACTAGCTTTAATTAATGTGTCCACAGGTGCTACCTCCTTTCCCATATCTAATTGGAATCACCTTTTCCCCTTTGAATTTGTATTTCTTTATAGCCATGGCACACACTTTGCCTAGAAAAAGTGTAGTCTTCTTGTCACAATTTGTACATCCTTATGCCTCCATGGTGAATAATTGTTAGATCTGGAGCAGTTTTAATTTGTGATGATGATGATGAAGAAGAAAAACAGTAGCCTCCACCTGAAGAAATCAGCAGCATCTTTGCAGAGTGCTCTAACTTTTTTCAGAGCAAGACCTATTATCCATTAATGGCTTGCACCTTGACTGCATCCCAGTATTGCCAGATAGTTAATAAAATTAGCAAACTTTGATTCAATGTTAGGCATCCAACGTATTATACTTCAATATGGAAATAATCTCATGGCATATAAATGTGTTTTGTTATTTCTATTCCCTACATGTTTCTCATGCTGAAAAATAAGATGTTATGTGTTTATGACTAAAGGCAAAAAAAATGTTTCAGAATTCAAAGCCAGATGCTATAATAAAGAATTAAAATAAGCAGGGAGAAGGAATCAAAAGACAATTCTGAGATGTCAAATCATCATTAAGTAGAGGCTGCTGGGCTTTTTATAACAATCCTATACTATGTTTTTATCTATTGCTCTGGTTTTATGTTGTGAGATGCGCAGAATTGATTAGAGCTGGGTGGTACTTAAATCAAAATAATAAACAATTAAATAATCCCATCGTTTCAACCCATCCAGTCAGAATGGACATGCTCCAAGTTCCATTGTTAATAGTGTAATCTGATGGGTCCTGACTGCCTGTCCTCTCTGTTCTGATGCCTGTCTTTGAAGATTTGTTTTTTTCCCTTTGCAGATAATCTCTTATGGAAACTTTATTAATGAGTTGGTTTATTAATCTCTCAGTTACTGCCTTTTGTGTATATTGTATTGTCTATTTCTAGCTTGTACATGACCTGGAGTCACTTGAGCTGTGGGGAGGCTGCAAATTTTATTTACAAATAAATAGCAATGTAGACAATTTTTTTACTGTACGTTATCCCTTGTCTTACTATGTAAGCTTGGATAGAGAATAAGATAGGAAATTAATAGTATGCATTCCTTCCCCAGCCCAAAATATCACACATAATACAGAGTTTTTTTGCATACAATCCAGCTGTGTCCATATGTTTTTGGGAAAAAGTCATGTGTAGAAAGACCCATGCTTAAACGACTCTTCATTTCACAAAGTAGGAAGAGAATCGGTTTAATTCACTTTTCATCTTCTGCAAGTGACTGCAGGGATTTTAACTGGGTTAACTGGGTCTGTTGGAGTTGGGCAACAAGTAAATGTAGATAAATAACTTTTATCCCTTGAAAAAATGCAGGAAGATAATCTCACATTAGAATTGAATTCTGTAGTGGAAGGATGTTCATGCAGATTCATTGATTGAAGTGTGAGTAGAAACTACAGGTAGTCCTCAACTTAGAACAGTTCGCTTAGTGACTGTTGAAAGTTACAACAACACTGAAAAAAAGTAACTTATCACCGATTTTCACATTTATGACTATTGCAGCATTCCCATGGTCACCTGACTTACATTCAGATGCTTGATGACTCTGATTTACGACAATTGCAGTCTCCTGGGCTCGCGTAATCACCTTTTGTGACCTCTGACAAGCAAAGTCAATGGGGAAACCAGATTCACTTAACAACCGGGTTACAAATTTAACAACTGCAGAAATTCACTTAACAAATGTGGCAAGAAAAGTCGTAAAGTGGGGCAAAACCCACTTAACAAATTTCTCACCTAGCAATATAAGCTTTGGGCTGAATTGTGGACATACGTTGAAGACTACCTGTACATCTACTTATTTGCTAGCCAAACATTTAACAAGTTTGAACAAACAGCAGCTTTTAAACTTTACAAAGTAACAATTAAAAAAACAAAACAAAACCCCAAATAATTGAATTCTAAAGCATTTCATTACTCTGCATGAAGTATCATTTTCTTAGATGGCAGTCTCTCATATTTGTTATATGATAATATTCAAGTCTCAGTTACTTCACACTTTTAAACATGTGACCGAATGTCCCTGAATAAAAGTTTTTTTTTCTTTTCACAAATGTTTACAGCAACTTACAAGCATTCTCGTAGTGACCACTCGAAGTTACAGCACTGGGAAAAGTAACTTATGATCACTTTTCATACTTGTGACCGTTGTGGCATCGCCACTGTCATGTAATTCGGACACCTGGCAACTAACATATATTTACAATGGTTGTAGCATCCTGGGGTCATGCAATCACCTTTTGTGACCTTCTGACAGGCTGTCAGTGGCAAAGCCAGATTCGCTTAGCAACTGGGTTACAAATTTAACAACTACAGGGATTCACTGTGGCAAGAAAGGATGTAAAATGGGGCAAAATTCACTTAACAACTGTCATGCTTAGTAATAGAAATTTGGGCTCAGTTGCAGTCATAAGTCCAGGATATATATTCTTATATGGACTACTAGAAGCCTTTGATTGTGTGGATCACAACAAATTGTGGCAAGTTCTTAAAGAGATGGGAATACCAGACCATCTTATTTGTCTCTTGAGAAACCTATATGCGGGTCAAGAAGCAACAGTGAGAACTGGACACGGAACCACTGATTGGTTCAAAATTGGAAAAGGAGTCCGGCAAGGCTGTATACTGTCGCCCTGCCTATTTAACTTATATGCAGAGCACATCATGAGAAAGGCAGGGCTAGATGAATCAAAAGTTGGAATTAAGATTGCCGGGAGAAATATCAACAACCTAAGATGTGCAGATGATACCACTCTAATGGCAGAAAGTGAAGAGGAACTAAAGAGCCTCTTGATGCGGGTGAAGAAGGAGAGTGCAAAAGTTGGCTTGAAACTCAACATTAAGAAAACCAAAATCATGGCATCCGGCCCTCTCAATTCCTGGCAAATAGATGGGGAAGAAATGGAGATAGTGTCAGATTTTATTTTTCTGGGCTCCAAGATCACCTCAGATGGGGACTGCAGCCAAGAAATTAAAAGACGCTTGCTCCTGGGGAGGAAAGCTATGGCAAATCTAGACAGCATACTAAAAAGCAGAGACATCACCCTGCCAACAAAAGTGCGTATAGTCCAGGCCATGGTTTTCCCAGTTGCAATGTATGGCTGTGAAAGTTGGACCATAAGAAAGGATGAGCGCCAAAGAATTGAGGCCTTTGAACTATGGTGCTGGAGAAGACTCCTGCGAGTCCCTTGGACTGCAAGGCGTTCAAACCGGTCAGTCATAGAAGAGATCAACCCCGACTGCTCTTTAGAAGGCCAGATCCTGAAGTTGAAACTCAAATACTTTGGCCACCTAATGAGAAGGAAGGACTCACTGGAGAAGGGCCTAATGCTGGGAAAGATTGAGGGCAATAGAAGAATGGGACGACAGAGAATGAGATGGCTGGATGGAGTCACTGAAGCAGTAGGTGTGAACTTAAATGGACTCCAGAAGATGGTAGAGGACAGGAAGACCTGGAGGAACATTGTCCATGGGGTCGCGATGGGTCGGACACGACTTCGCAATTAACAACAACAACAAATGGACTACTAGAGAAAAGGCTATGGGTAGACTATATCCAAGATATTGCCCTAATTCATATATTATACACCACACATTGGTTTGTTTTATTTTGATTTAGCATGTTGTGAGAACCAGGGAATCATGGTTTATTCAAACTGGTTAAACCAGGGTATAGAAGGAGCAAACCTGGTTACAAAGTTGAGATGCAAATGAGTTAGGAATTATTTTAGAGTAGCTACACCCTTATTTATTATCTGTCTTACTGGGACTTGGAGCAATGTTCTAGTGCAGTGGTGTTAAACTGCCGGGCTACGGGCCAGATGCATCATAGTGAAACTGCGCCTACCCCATTGCCAGCAATGACAAAAAAGTTGCGACACGTCACATGACATTGCAAGTTTGACACCCCTGCTCTAGCCTGAAAGCTAATACGCACCTACAAACACAAACACTTACCTGATGTGCTTGACCTCATGATGCAAACAGGACTAATTCACCATTTGGGATATTCCAAGTTTAAATCTAAGCAACCCACTAAACAATTTTACAGGGGTTCTGATTTTTTACTGCTTTCTTTCTTACATATATTCACAGGTAAGTGAAGAAAACTGTAAAAGCATTTGTCTGTTAGAAATTAGACTCTGGAACAAGCCCTAATGCTTCAAGTGAAACTTATTCAAATGGAAATGTGCAATTTGTAAATTACCAATGTAAGAATTTTATTTAGAATCCAAATCCAAATATTGTATTAATCCCTACCCCTCAGTTTTAGAACAAGCTTTACTAAGACAGCTTATAATAAAGAATAAAATAATATAAAATTGTAATAGAAATAATGTCAGATAAAATTAAATCTTTTTCTTCCAGTAATAGAAATCAGTAAAAAGCTTAATAAATCTAACCTCACTTAAGTTGGTTTACCATTCCAGTTTTATCATTCAGAGATTACTGATGGGAATAAGATGGTGTAGATGTTGCAATGACTTGAAAATGTTAGCAGAAAACCACAGAAGAACTCCGTTGTTCTTTGGACCCAGTCCAACAACAATCCTCTGAGCAATTATATCTGCTTAACTCTGGAACCTGCCTGCCAATGTCTTTTTTTTTCCCTTTCAGGCAGTTGCAAAGACATTGATGGTTCCCATGGGTGCTCCTTTGCTATGATGATGTGTTCTGAGCCAGTTCTTTGGAGCTACCACTGGAGAGAACATCTGTGTCCTTTTCACAGTTGAGAAATCAGCAATTTGAATCTAACACATCAGAGACATTTTGGTGTGCAAGTCATAATATGATAAAGGATGTTGGAGTCTGGCAGCCAAGGATCATAAGATGAAAAGACATTTCCTTTTAAAAGGTCAACTGAAATAATCTTTACTTCAGACAGAATATCACAGAGACAAGATTAGTTAGCAAGTGTCTAAATAAGCATATCCTTCAAAAATACAAAAGTGTGACTAGAATTTCTTTCCCGAACAATATTTTACTCCATTTTCTTCAAATGGATCTTTCATATATTTTGTAAAAAATGATCTTCACCAGAGTATGTTCAGGAAAACGGTTAAAACACTTCGATGCAATATGATCCTGCAATTAACAACTTTTCATCATAACTTTTATCAACACATATGCCTGCCAGAGTGGCTGAAACGGGAGGAAAGGGACTGCTTTTGCCTGAATTCTTTATTTCTGAACAACAACCACAACAACAAAAACTCTGATGGTTTCAAAGCAAGAATAAAAGCTGAAGAAAGGAATTTTTCCAGAAAACAAACTTGACAAGTATTATAGTTTGCAACTGGTATCTTGTTATCAGTGTACAAATTCTAAATGAGAATTTAGCTCATAAAATGCATATTCTGTTATGGGAAATAAAGCAGTGCTCACTTTTGCAAAAGCAGAACCTTACATCATCTGGCATAGAATACTGGTAATAAAGAAATAAAAATTCAGTGGTAAGTGTGATCAGGTAGGATACATTATACATTAGGATCTCTTAAAAAGCCTGTGCTCCAAAAGGCTCTTTAAGAAATGCAGGTCTAGTCTAGGGAAAGATAATAAAGTGCCATTGGCTTGTAACAGGTCTGGTGGAATTTTTACAATGATCTTTTTAATTAGAAATACCAACACCCAAAACAAATGGGCAAAGTTGGTGGGAGAATACTGACTAGAATAGAAACAATGTCAATCTTATGATTTGAACCAATCATTAGCTCAAGCTGTATTTCCAAGATTTAAAAAAATGCATCATGATTTACAATGAAATTTAAGAAGAGACGAGACCAGGAGTTCTCAACCTTGGCAACTTTAAGACTTGTGGGACTTCAACTCCCAGAATTCCTCAGCCAGCTTTGCTGGCTGAGGAATTCTGGGAGTTGAAGTTCACAAGTCTTAAAGTTGCCAAGGTTGAGAATCCCTGGACTAGACAATCACTTGTCTGAGGTTCTCCTGCTTGAGAACCTTCCAGTTCTATTCTATTCTGAGTTTTAAAAATTAAGCTATTATACTGTAAACTTCCAAAAATATTTTTACATTTTTGTATCTTGAACTATAAGAAAAATGTTTCGCGTAATCAACTACTAAGTAGCTTATGGTGTATAGGATACTCCTAGGTAGTGCAATATTTATGATTTCTGTGCAATATTTCTCAGCTCACCATAAAGTAGTTAGTCCTTTATTCTGAAAACTCCTAGAAATACCATTCTGTGCTATGTTTCTATAAAGAGTGCACAATTCTGACTATAATCGAGGTGGGTATTGTTCTGTTATGGAGAAAGAAGAAAATTCTGAGGCAGTAAGATATGCTGATCTCCACATTCCATCTTGCTATTCTGTTCAATGTTTTACCATCTGATGCCATTTCCTAAACAACCCGAGGAGCATCTATGGACTCCCATTCAAGAACTGGTACACATTCCTTGGAACAGAAGCAAAGCCCAGAATTGGTTTGTTGTTTTTGGAACAACAATGGATTGGCTCCACTGATAACAGCCTTTTGGAAGTTAGTTAAAACCAAATTATTTTAGAAGCTTAGGGTGCATTGTGATATCATCAGGGTTGCATTATATGATTTTAATTGCAATTTAAGTTTTAACCTTGACTGTTTTAGTGTTGAATAATTGTTGTGAATCATGAGTAAGCCAAAATAAGCTGTGGTGTATAATTTTAATAAAGTTTACTGTTTTTTGTGTTGTCCACCCAATTGTGATTGGATCAAAGAGCTTCATGGTTGGATAGATATGTATGTAGCAGCATTAAAAAGGCAAATGTCACCACTGAGTGTATTAGACAGAATTTATCTCCCATTTGCATACCAAGATCAAGACAAATGGAGGAGCTACAACAGACATTTTTTTTCTTTGATATAGCCATACTGCATACATCAGTGTTGTTAATTATGGATAGAAATAATGAGAATAGTTTTGAAATCATATTGGTTGTTTATATATAATCTTAATCATTACACATTCTTGTATTGTTCAAAAGACTTTTTTTAGGAAGTCCAAAGGAAGATCAATGAAAGTAATACCTTTCTTCTTCCAATGCAAATGTCCTATGAGTAGAACCCCATACATTGGAAATCATGCTACAATCGCATATGGAGTAAATGATGCACATACTTTTTGTGTTTTTACTTTTATTTCAAATAAAATTGAGTTGAGATTTAAATACAGTCAATTCATGTATTAGCTTTTTTTAAAGAACAAAAGTACAATTAGAAAATTTTTATGGAGACTTTTTTTGGCTGTCTTTAAAGAGACTCAAAGTAAATATCTCAATGTCAGTCATTCAATATGTCCTTTTCTATTACTATTTTCTCCTTTTCAATGCCTGCAATAAGGAGACAATGCATCTGTAAAGTATTCCCGCCCTTAATTTCACAGTTAATCAGCAAAATTAGTTACACATCTATGCTTTTTTCCTAACATAAGGCTGCTCAAAATGCATCTTAAAGAATAAGAACCAATGCTTTTCCAAGCACCTTTGAACAAAGGTTACTCTCTTCTGTAATTTCAAGTTATTTCATAGAAAATACTTAATTACTTAAAGCAATTTCACAGGCATCTTTTGAGATTTGGAACACTATTATTCTCAAAGCAAAGGAGTAGAGCCAATTATAAGAAAAAGTTTCCTTGTATTAGGGATAAATGTAGATGCTGTAGCCTGAGCAACTTTTTGCCAATCCAGCATCAAGGATTAATACTTTTATTTTCCTAACTTCAGTGCTTTTGTAATCAGATTTATTTATCGCTGTAACAGCTGCTTTAGAATCCACCCTACACTGATTTGGTTGTATGCAATGTTAAAATATTTGTAAGGCAGTCCAAGAGTATCATACAACACAAATGCTTTCACACATTTGTAAATTAATAATGTCAACAAATATGGAAATCATTCAAGGTCCCAATTCAGAAGAATTCATATGGAATGTGAAAATGTGGCAAAACCAGCAAAGAACACTCCAATGCAGTGCAAACCCATTTACTCAGTGAGAAGTCTGAATGAGGTCTAGCCCTGGGTAGTAGAATATAGCACAGCAGCTATCACTAGTAGTTTTTCATATTTTATAAATGCTTTTTAGCCTTTTCAAAAAAAGTATTCAAAGACAACACTTTTGGTCATTAGCTAAATTCTCAAATCTTTATAGTTAAAGTGTAAACTGTATTTCCATGAATTAGGAAAGCAGCCATAGTTCATCCATTGCCATGACTCCTGAAGAATTGACCTGGGAATGTTTGACAAGTGATACTGCCTTACTAATGACAAAATGTAGCTCAGAGACTATAGAACAAAGAAATCTATATGATTTTTTTTAAGGTGAAATCAAGAATTCTTCAATTGTAGTCTGCAGCCTGCTGCTAGTCCTGGAATCTTTTGCCTTAAAGGTAATGGTAGCCAAGAATATCTATAACCAAGGATGGTTTCTGATGGTTCAGGATGGAGTCTGTTTATCGAGCCAGATTATAAGTCTCTGACTAACTATAACACCATTATTTGTCTCTAAATGTTTGCCAGCTATATGAGGTTTTGACAGGTGCTTTGTTTCTGGTCATGACTGATTATAACAATGTCATGTTAATTTTGATAACAAGCCTGGTTCTAAAATGGTATTAAAATAGGCAGCTGATGCTTTGATTAGTTGACATAAAACTTTTACACATTTGCCACTCCAGCAATTTTCAGTGCACAAACAAGCACCAGTAAACTGGTCAACCTCTTATGAAAGTCAAATATCTGCATGTTCACTTTGGCTGCAATCTTTAAAGCAGAGAAAGGAACAGTTAATTAAGTGCAATAATAAACCAGTCAGTTATATAAAATAATATAAAACATCAAGTTACACAAAGAGATATAAGTCCTAAGTCAGAACAGAAAAAGATGCTTTGGAAATTATGGAAGTGACAAAGTTACATCTCATAACTCAGTTCTAACATAGAATAAAAAATGCTAAATAAATGCAGAGTTCTGAAAGCAAATACTTATTAACAAAGCTAATCAACGTTGGCATGGACTGTTTCTTCTCTGCAAACAAGGCCACAGATTTCACAAGATACTCTTTAGATTAGTGTTTAACCTCAGCAACTTTAAGAGATGTAGATTTCAACTCCCAGATTTCCCCCAGCCAACATGTTGGATGCGGAATTCTGGAAATACGTCTTAAAAGTTCCTAGTTAAAGAAACACTGCTTTAGATGAGCAGCTGATTATTTCAATCAGAATTAACTTCTGCCTCAAACTTGCTTCTGCACATTTTGAACCTAATACTGAAATGATTTGCATGAAAAAGCCATAGAGTATATGTATTTTATTTTCTCCTGGACAAGGGCAAATTTCTTTGTCCTTAGAACATGCCACATGTTTAATTTTGTAAGACTTCAAATTGAATATACTCTATACCTTGTTATAATATAAAACAAACCAAGGCACAAAAACATGATATGTTCCATAAGGAATTTCTCCTCCACCCAACAAAATAAGGAAATTGACAATAGCATGATAATATAGAAGTCTGCATGGAAAATGAAACTGGTGGAGTTTGGTCTTACATTACCAGAGTAAAATGTTAACAATGCCAGTAAATATGGACTTTTAAAATATGAATTATTACATTAGGGATTCATGTCTTATAAAAATATTTTATATTTCTTCAGTTTGAGTCCAACTTCGGGGAGCTCCACTAAATTATAGGTTATTATTGAAGATATGTAAGGAAGCTAGCAGCTTATTCTCAGCACCTGGTCATATAAACATTACACTACTCCTTCTGCAAAATTTTGATTTTATAATCTTAGCATCATCACATTTGTTTGCAATCTTAATGAAACTACAGTACTTAAGATAGGTTCTAAATGTTTTTGGTTACAAATGTGAAAAAACAGGGAAAACCCATTATTTTGGACTGAAATATTGCTTTTTCTTCCACACTATTTTGTAAAATTTTAAAAAAGCAATCTAACTGTAATGGAATATCCATCTTTATGGGAAGGGATCAAATTCCTGCAAGTTGTTTCTGATCTCATCATACAGAAATGTCCAACATGGCAGAGTGTATTAAACCTCACGGTAATAATATAGCTATAGTTATTATGAAATGATGGTTTCAAAAATATCTGCCAAAAATCAAAGTACACACAGAAAACAGTTATATTGCATTCTGGAAAATTGTTTGGTCTACAAGTGGAAACCCACTGGTTACATAATTCCATCTCATATTCACTGATGTTATCTATGTTACATACATCTCTTATACAATTCGGCTTATCAGCCTATAGAGTCTCTTCATATATGTGGTCCCTCTCTACTTTTTTTTCCAATATAATTTTCTTTCCATGCTGTACACTGGACATATGATTCCAGGATTGGCAGAGAATGTACTTTCTCTGCAATCCTGGGGGGAGGAGGCAGGGGGGGGGATGTATTGGTATGTATTTTTTAAGTTCTGCAATTGAAGCAAATTCTTGTTTTTTGTTTTGTGCTTAACAGTGTTTAATTGTTCTTTCTGACAGTAATGTTATTCCTCTCCAAAAAATATTTAAGAACTAGAAGGAGAACATCCCAGTCTCTGGACATGCTGCAGATGGGTGCTCTGTGCTATTCCAAGGACAGCACACTATCCTTTACCCTGTCAACTAGTAAACAAACATTAATAAAGTATTTGAACATGAAAAAAAGAATAGGTTTGCACTTCAATTGAATATTTTCCATTATTTGTTATGAAGGATAATAACTCTAATTTCCTGAACAGTAACCTAATTTATTTTGCATTCTTACTTTTATATTATTAAACCACACCTACATTTGCTTTTTATAAGCCACATGGAACAGCATCTGTAAATTTTACCATGTCACTCCCTCAACTTTTCAAATATTTATGTCATATGCCACACATATTCTTATATATAACACCAACAAACGTCTTAAATAAATAGCAGACATAGGAATTAATATATTATTCAGCAAAGATAATCAATTTGCCCAAAAGGCCATGATCTATTGGTTCATTTCACATTAGATACAACTCAGGCAATATATTAACAATCTTTCATGATATTTCTTTAGGTTGAAACAATCACTTAAGAAACTCAAGAGCTATGGTACTAGGAGAAGGGAAAAATTAAAGAATTTCCTCACTATTTTTTTTCTTAAGTCAGTGGCATTCCAAGCTACTCTTTGCTCTCTATGAGCAAAATATAGTATAAGCACCCAGCAGATGTTCCAAATGACATGAACGAGGCACTTAGGAGCCCCTGAATGGACTAATTTGATAAAAAATAAAAACAAATCATATGGATGCTATAAATAATTCTACATGTTTTATAATGCTATCTCAATTTTCCCAAAAATTGTTTAAAAATTTTATGTACTGGAGATTTCTGGATGGGTATGGAAAAAAATACAAATGAATTTGCCAGTATCTATTCTACAAACACATAAACACAGGTGTTAATTAGGATCCTCTTATTTTGTGATAAGGGAGAGAGCTGAATTACATTTCTTTAACTATTTGGTATTACCAGCTACAATCTTTGAGAAAGAAGTGCTGAAATAGTAGTTTGTGATTTGCTCTTGAAGCCTAGTAACAGCCACAGTGAGAAATTTTTTTATACTGGAATTTTTTTCACTGCTTATTGTAGGATGGAGCATTTAAGATTCCTTAGTCAAGAGAAATTGCTTGCATCTCTTCCATTTCTCTGCTGCCTTCTGCATCCTGAAGAATGGGACAGAAAACATTTATGAATCAATGCGAGGAAGTAATTTTATTAAGTAATTTTATAAATCATACAATCCCAAAGATTAGACTTCTTTCTCCAGCTTCCTAGTTACGTACCAGGTAGAAGAGGGTTTCCCAGTCTATGAATTGTATCTCTCTTGGGGTGGTGCAGACAGAGTTCAGAGATGGGGTGAAGGACTTTTGATTGTTTGTTGCTGAACAAAGTTTCATTGTTCATTTATGTTCATGGTTGGAGTTTTGGAGTTTGGAGTTTTAGAGAAGGTATGTACATCAAGATTACACTAAAGCAGGGGTTCTCAACCTTGGCAACTTTAAGACTTGTGAACTTCAACTCCCAGAATTCCTCAGCCAGCTTTGCTGGCTGAGGAATTCTGGGAGTTGAAGTCCACAAGTCTTAAAGTTGCCAAGGTTGAGAACCCCTGCTAAAGGGAGCTGTGATGGCAGATGGTTTAGGAACTTCTGATGTAGAAGAATCCTGAATAGCTGAATTCTACTTCTTTCTTAATCTTTTACGTTATGCAAGAGAGGAAAAGCCTTTCTGCTGTTGACTGAGCACATATCTAATCTAAACTTTAGATCTGGCAAATTGATTTATTATAACAAATCTTCAAAAATGTATCACAGCAATTATGATGCTGTAGTATTGACATTGATTAGCGACTGGGTGAATTTAACAAATACAGAAATACTTCATTTGGAAGGCTGGGACCTATTTTTTGGATGGCATGCCTATTTAATATTTAATAAAAAAGTGGATTGGGTTTTTAAGTCTCATATTATAAGAAACTCTTTGTTAAGAGTGTGGAGAAAGTATTATAAAAGTGACTTCAAAATACCATTATGGGCTATACCTCGGCATGCCATAGAAGGTATAAGGAAAGGGGTAAATATGGACAAGGTCTCTTACGTACATTTACTAAGATGGGATGGCCAAGACTGGCAGTTAAAATCTTTGGAAGAATTAACACATGAAAATTTAACTTATTCATGGTTCCAATATAGACAAATAGTGGATAGATGGAAGATGGATTGTAAAACGGTCTGGCTTAGAGAAGATGAAATTTTTTTAAAACAAGTAAGAGATCAAAGGCCAACCCATATTAAGAGAGTTTATGGGGTTTTAGTGGAATTAGATTCAGAACTTTAACTAGTTAAAGATTGTATGATTAAATGGGCACAGAATATTGGTGAAACGATTTCAATGGATACTTGGGAACTTATTTGGATAAGAAATGTTAAATTCACACAAGCGCAAAATTGAAGAGAGAATTTTTATAAGATGTTTTATAGATGGCACCTTGACCCAAAGAAAATGTCCATTATGTACCCTAATCTACAGCCGAAATGCTGGAGATGTGGATATTTGGATGCTACCTATTACCATATTTGGTTGACGTGTAAGCATATAAAAGCTTTTTGGATTAAGATATGGTGGAATATTCAAAGAATTTTTAAAAGGAGGGTAAAATTTACTCCGCAATTATTTTTACTAGGTATTGTTATGGACTGTGATGCTAAGGAGGTTATATTGATGTTAAATTTGATTACAGCCGCTAGGTTGTTAATAGGACAATATTGGAAGAAGGAATCTTTGCCTACTTTACAAGAATGGTTTCATAAAGTTTCGTATTTGGCAGAAATGGCAAAGATTTCGGCTTTCTTAAAGGAGCAATCTCAAGAAAATTTTTTTGCGGTATGGGAAAAATGGATAAATTTTATACAACATAATTTGGATATGGAAAAATATTATCTAGCCTTTTTATAATTTGTAAGGATTGTTTTTTCTTTCTTTCTTTCTTCTTTTTCTTTTTTATATATATACATTTTTTATGTATTATTATTCATATATTTTTTTTTATATATATATATATGCTTTATTCTTCGTCTACTTTCTTCTTTCTTCTTTCTCTCTCTCTCTTCTCTTTTTATTTTTTTTTTCTTTTTTAGTATATATTATTCATTTTAAAGTTTATGTTATGTATATTATTATTATATATATTATTATTGTGATTTTTATTATTATTATTAATTATTTTATAAATTGCAAATGTTATTTTTAAAATATTTGTTAAATAATCCTATATTCAGTTCTGGGAAGTCGGGGGGGGGGTGGGGTGGTTGGGGAGGGGGGGGTGGATTTTTATTTGTAAAATTTTTGAAAAATTTCAATTAAAAAAAAAAAAAATGTATCACAGCAGATACTAGGAAATACTAATTCCAATAAAAAAACTTATTTGGTATCTACCAAATTCAGATTTTTTTTTTGTTTCCATGATAACAATTTCAGAAATTAACAGCAATTTTCTTATCAGATGTTCAGTCTCTCTTTTTTTTAATTGCAGGTATACAGATAATTACTTACTTAATGACCGGTTGTTTAACAACTGCTCCAAGTTACAATAGCCCAGTGGTTCTCAACCTGTGGGTCGGGACCCCATTTGGGGTCGAACGACCATTTCACGGGGGTTGCCAAACAACGCAGTCCGCCGTTTTTTTCCCCTTTTCCTTAGCTCTGCTACTCCCTTTTATTCTATTGGCTTTTGAAAGCCAATAGAATAGACTCTCTTGAATAGAGTCTAATTCTATTGGCTTTCAAAAGCCAATAGGAATTGTCCAGGCTGTCTCTGCCCTGCTGAGCCCGCCAAAAGTCCCATTCTGCAGACGGTGCTGCACCAGTTGAGTAGTCCTCGACTTACGACCGGTTGGGGGTCGCGGCATTAAAAAGGTTGAGAACCACTGCAATAGCCTCAGAAAGGCTGCTTCACAGCCCATGTAAAGCACCTCTGGCTATCGCAAAATGTCACACTAACACATCCGCAGTCATATGATTGTGATTTGGGTGCTTGACAACTTGTTCACCCCGTTGCCAAATTCCCTACAATTGCCATTTGCAATCTTCTCTGTCAGCCTCCTCAGAAAGTCAATGGGAAAGCCAGCAGGGAAGATTGTAAGCTGCTTCCACCTGCCAAGAGGACTCCCTCTCGTCTCAGGAGTTAGCTGAAAGAGCTTTCTGCTGATCTGCAGCAGAAATACAAACAGGCACAGAGCTTAAAATCTTTCTCTCCCCGCCTCTACGGAGCTCTCCACAGATGCAGCGAGGGAGGGACTCCAAGCATTACCAAGACCCTTCAGAGAAAGCTGATCTAGATGGGAAAGCAAAAATATCTACAGTAGTATGAACATACAGTAGTATAAGAAGAGTCAGATTTTGGAAATATTGCAGAAGTGGCAGGCTTGTCATAAGAGAAAGAAAGACTAAAATGTCATAAGCAGCCCAAAGTAAGGCAGGGTGGGTGGGTGGAGGACAGACTAGAACTGAAAAAAGGCGATTTATAATTCATGGAAAGCCATCCCAGAGACGATAAGATTTTGTGAGGCTCCCTGTCTCCCCATCTATGAAGAAAGAGTGTCCACAAGGAGATAAATTTTAAAGTGGAAAAGGTCCACTGCAGATATTCAGGAGAAATAAGAAATCTTTTCCTGAGAAATGTTTTCATTAAAGCAATCCCGTGTGCCCCTTTTTCCAGAAGAAAAACTTTCTTAGGCCTGGAACCGGCAGGTTTTGTTTTTTTTTTCCCAGAGGGAGCGATGGAAAGAGAAAACTACAATTAAAAAGAAAACATTTAGCGAATAGGGGAAAGGGCCTCCACTGACATGAAGTAATCAGACCAAAGGGCACAGCACTTTTTCTATCATTTCCTTTCCTTTCATTTCCTCACCACCTCTCATCCCAGTGGATTGCTCTGTAAACCCTTGTTTTCAAAAACAGATAAAAAATGCTACCTCTTTTGTGATAACGGGCAACTCTGAAGCCAGAGTCAACCAATGAGCAGCTTTAGAATTATCCCCCAGTTCCTTGTAGCACTGTAAAAGGAGGAAAAGAGAAAATCAAAACAATGAGATATTTTCCTTTTTGCAACCAATAAAGTAAAGTAAACCAGGTTTATTTCTTTCAAATATTAACATTGTACAAGTGGAAGAATCATAGCCTTTCTTGAACTTTGCTTCTATTGCAGTACAGAGCAGCTAGGTAAGGCCTTTATATTATGTACATTTACCCCCAATACAGTCCACTGAATAAAATAAAGCAGGGTTGTCCAAACTTGGCAACTTTAAAACTTGTGGACTTCAACTCCCAGAATTCCCCAGCCAGTTGGATATCCCTGAAATAAAGCATGCACAGGCAGGGTATTGACTTTCACAACAAGCACAAGGTTGTCACAAAGAAGTTTAATTTTCAATCCTTTTTCAGGCCAGTTTTTCTTTATGAAACATAACACTTCTCTATCCATTTACTTTATTGCAGAGATTCTCAAATAATGGACCAATCCCTGGGAAGATGCATACAAACTGGGATGGCAGGGTGGGAGTGATTGGCCATCTTTTCTGTGTGTTGGTTGCACTGCAATGGCACAGATAATGGCAAAGCTCCTTTTTGATGGCCTTTGCAGCAACAGCTCCTGCAGCAGCCCTTAGCTCAGTGTTTCTCAACCTTGACAATTTTAAGGCATGTGGACTTCAACTCCCAGAATTCCACAGCCAGCAATGCTGGCTGTGGAATTCTGGGAGTTGAAGTCCACATGCCTTAAAATTGTCAAGGTTGAGAAACACTGCCTTAGCTCCTCTTGCATGCTGCCCAAGGCCATATAGCTGGGACTGAGGTACGTTTGCCTAGTCTGAATTTTCCCTGCTGTTAAGGAGACCTCTTCCTTGGGCAGGCATCAGGCTAAGTTTAGCCTGCAGGTCCATTTTGGCAGCCTAAGCGTGCTGATCCCCCATCAGGAGGCAATGTTCTCATACATTCCCAATTGGGTCACTGGCGCACCATGTTCCCACTCTGCCTGGTAAATCAACAGTTGTCTTGTCCAGACAGAGCATAAACCATGTTTGGCATTCTCCTTTATTCATAGGCTAAAACCATCAACATCTAATAATAAATTCATACAAATGATTGCTTTTAGGGATCCCAACACTAAAAAGACTGAAAACCCCCTGTTGCATTCTCACACATTTATTATACATTTTTATAGAACAGTGACATTTTGAATTTCAGCTGAAGAAACAGAAGTTTTAAGAAGAGAATGATGCTTCAGCAGTGACAGAACGTGTCTGTATGGTAGCTTACAAGTTACATGTAAAAAAAATATCAAAAGCATCTTTCAGATTTATATGAGTCATACTTGAATTACAAGGTCAGCCTTATGCCTTGAAATGTTAATATTTGGATTTATTCTTTAGAAGCTTATACCTGAGAAATTCAGAAATGTGTTAAGTTCTACCATGAAAATTTTCAACACTGAAGAGGTTAGACGAGCGGTTCTCAACCTGTGGGTCGCGACCCCATTTGGGGTCTAACGACTATTTCACGGGGGTCGCCAAACAACGCAGTCTGCCATTTTTTTCCCCTTTTCCTTAGCTGTGCTACTCCCTCTTATTCTATTGGCTTTTGAAAGCCAATAGAATAGACTCTATTCAAGAGACTCTATTCTATTGGCGTTCGAAAGCCAATAGAATCTATTGGTTTTCGAAAGCCAATAGAATAGACTCTCTTGAATAGAGTCTAATTCTATTGGCTTTCAAAAGCCAATAGGAATTGTCCAGGCTCTGCCCTGCTGAGCCCGCCAAAAGTCCCAGTCTGCAAACGGTGCTGCAAGTTGTCTGCTGCTAAGGTGAGCTTTCTGGACGTTTCCACCCCTCCCTGCTGAGCAACTACTAAATGTAAGTAAAAGAGGGCCAGGGGTGGGAGGCCGGCGGGTGCAGGGAGGGTTGCTGGCGTGTGTGGGGCCCAGCGGGTGCCTTACCTCCCTTGGGCTGGGCCAGCTGGTGGCCCAGTCAGTGGTCGCCCTGCGCCCTCCCTGGTGCGTGCCATGGCCGCCCAGGAGCGCCTGGGCCTGCCTGCTGCTGCACCGAACTTGCAGTGGCCAAGGTTAAGGCTAGCGGGGCAGCGGCGGGCGCAGGGAGGGTTGCTGGTGCGCATGGGGCCCGGCGGGTGGCTTACCTCCCTTGGGCTGGGCCAGCTGGTGGCCCAGCCAGTGGTCGGCCTGTGCCGTCGCTGCCGCTTGCCGGCTACGCCTTGGCCGGCGTAGGGGGCGGCACCACGCATGCACAGCGCTCCCAGGCCGAGGCAGTTGCTGGGCGACAGCCTGCGTGCACCCTCGGCCTGCCCAGCATGTGCTCCAGCCACAGGAGAGGAGGCGGAGCGTGCGCGCCTCCTCCTGCCCCGCCCGCAGGGAAATACAGGTAGTCCTTGACTTACGACCACAGGGTTGGGGGTCGCGGCATTAGGAAGGTTGAGAACCACTGGGTTAGACTCTGTTCAACAAACAGGTCATTCAGTAATATCTTCCTGAAATTTTGTAAATATCTGACTATTTATAAAGTGCTTTAACATGCAATTCACATGCACCAACATTCTACCACAACTCAAAACATATATGTGTGTGTATGTATGTATGTATGTATGTATGTAAATAAGGAAGAATTCAATCTGACAAACTGTTGAGACCATATTTACTATTTGCGTGTAGTATATTATCAATGGCTACAGAAGAATTGTATTAATAATAAATTGCTAAAAGATTATATTTGTTTTAATTCATCTCAAAGCTATAAGATACAAATACAAACAACTATATATGCATTCCTAAACAGGTACATTCGACTGTACAGCCTGGAATATAACTGTAGGCATGTTCACTCTCAGCCCAACCCACTTCAGATTTGGGAAAACAGGAGGTGGGAACATTAAACATTAAGCACAACTAAGAATTGTATCAAATAAAGGCAGGATATAACAACAGCAGCAACCCCATTGTGCTCAATGGACCTTATCCCTAATGAACTGCACATAACAATAGTGTTAATTAAATTCCAATTTAGATATGAGGTGTAACATATACACTCCTGCTAACTGGATGAAACATGTAGCAAGTTGTCTCCATTTACAAGCCAATTTTCTCCTTTGAATGAAAGACTGATATGATAACTGTAATGTACAGACTGAAACTTTTGAAAAAAATGAAGTGTTGTAACAACACTGTAATCCTCCTGATTCAAATTAAAGATGACGCTAATTAGAACATAAGCTGCTCAAAATATGACATTGTGAAGAAGTACAAAACTGAAGTACAAAAGATTTTATATGTTGATTTCTTTTCAATACTAAAAATAGATTAACAATATTTTTAAAATTAAAAATATACAAAAATTTGTAGTCCATTTTTATTATAAAACAATTATTGCAGAAAATGTTGAAATTTGTACTGATTGGGATTTGAGGGCAGAATGATTTTACAAGGAGCTGTTATTACCATAGGATGGAAAATATTCTCTCATATTCTCCTGGATTATTCTCTCCTTGGTTTAGCATAAATTATTTGGCTTTCATTTGGGTAAACTCAAACTGATGCAAGAATTTTAACACTTAAAAAATAATGGTTCCATTTGTACAACCAAGAATATGTCTCAAATCCTCTGTGCACATCCATAATTTATGACAAAAATACAAGCATCTTCTCAAATACATTTAATTCAATGAATTTCAACAAATATGAAACAGTTTAAAAAAATAAATATGTTTATCGGATTTCTGTTGCTACTGCATTCATTTTAATACGTCTCAACACTAAGATTACCTCAAGTTTTGAATTAATCTTCTATATACCAATCGTAGTAATCTTTTCTTTCTGAATACTTTAGGGGTTAGTTCCCTGAATATTTGTAGAGATAATCCTCACTTAACAACTGGGACTAGCAACGCCATCATTAAGCAACCCAATTATTGAGACATCATGTGACTATGATAGATGTATGTCTTCACTTCTGCTAGAGTTATTAAGCAAGTTACCTGTGACTGTTAAGCAAGACAAGCAGAACTGTGACTTGCAATCTTATTGCTAGCTTCTTCATTGACTCTGCTAGTCAGAAGCCAATTGTAAAGCACACAAATGGTGATCATGTGACTCTGGGATGCTGCAACAGTCATAAAAGCCCACCAGTTACAAAATGCCCAAATCTTGATCATGTAACTGCAGGGATGCTGCAACAGTTATAAGTCCGAGGATCAGCCATAAAGATACTTTTTCAGTGCCCAGCGGTAACTCTGAATGATTGCTAAACAGAGCAGTCATTAAGTGAAGATTACCTGTATTAAATATTTAAGCAATTTGAATTGGATACTTATTTTCCATGCCATAGAAATAGCATCTATATACCATTGGGACAAAGTTTGCATGAAATATGTTTCAAGTTTAATTTTTAACAGGCCAGTTTAAACAGGTATTCAGTAGTATGATTTGAAAATACCTGATATTACACAGTCAGAAATAATGTGAATAATGAACCAATGGCTTGGTGATAATCCTAGTGAGATAAGTTTGTTAAGCATAAGGCTGTTCGATGCTTTTAAAATGGATGCACATCAACACATTATAGTCACACACATCACCTACCTTGGCAATATATATTCTTCCCATTTTTGAAAAACCAGAGTTTAGCTCTTCAGCCTATTAAGACAGGCAAAAAGAAAATAAAGAGAGTCAAAATCATCAGTATAAATATGTTAGGCTTTCAAATATTTTCAATATACATCTCTTATGATTTTTTTTACAAATTTTATTTATAATACAATTAAAAACAAACAAACATTGGATTTGACGTGACATTCCAGTATATACATTCTTATCAGATTATTCCACTTTTTACAATCAATTATTCATCTCTACATATACATCTAAGTTTTATATATAATACTTGTTCTAAAATAACATATATTTCTATCTCTTATGATTTAATTTCCTTTTCCTATATATATAATACAAAGCTTGACTAATATAGTACAATTTCAGGAGTGGAAATCATGTAGGCCTGTTGTAGTAGAAAAGAAAGATCTTGTAAATTTTTATTTGTGTCATACAAATTTTGAAGTGTCACCAAACTCTATCTGGCAAAGCCATATCATTAAAGAGACACAAATGAGCAACATACCAGCTGATGTGCACAGAAATATTGTTTGCTATTGACTTCTAGGAGAGGAATGTAGAACTAGCACATCTGCAAGTGAGTGGAGAAAACCACCACGGTAAAGACCGAAAAAATGGCAAGTAGACCAGTCCTATGGAACCTCTACAGATAAGAAGAGGATGGGAGATTACCCATATGTGCACCAGATGGCTGCTCCTTATGAGGAGACCGCAGGAGTTTGAGTCCTGGGAACTGAAGAGATTAGCCATCACGTTCACAATTATAGCAGAGCCTTTTAAAGTGGGCTCTACATTTGCTGACCTGTCTTCCTAAATACTTTCGGAAATTATCGATTTAATTATCTTAAGGCTAATAAAGATGTTCAAAATGAGTTTGAAAAGCCACCTGGTAAATTTGCCTGCATTCTTGAATAAAAGAAAGAAAATAACCATAAGCTTAATAATTTAAAGACTTAGACATAAATAGCAAAAAATAAGATTTTTGATCTAATAATGTTATAAACAAACTAGGGAATAGACAAATCTGGAATATTTGGATTTTCACTATAAGATTTTAGAAATAATTATATAAATAAATAGCCTTTCATGTGAACTAAACTGTTTCCTCTATTCCAAATCATCTTAGAAATTGCCTCCTAAAGGGGACAAAAAGATTTCAAGCAGAAAAGGAGGGGAGAAAAACAAGCTTGCTGTTTATTTTTGGTTACCGTATTTTCCGACGTATTAGACGACTCGGCGTATAAGACGACCCCCGACCGAAGCTGATTTGCATGCTTTAGAAAGTCGTCTTATAAGCTGGAAAATACGGTAATACTGGAATTTACAAAATAACACAAAACATTATGACATTTGAAATAATCCAGGATTTGGTTTGTTTGATCAAGATTAAAATAAGTTTTTATAAATCTCTAGTAACTCTCTATAGATATTTTGCTGACACCAGGACTGAAAAGTTGATGATTTATGGATATGCATATGAATAAGAAATACATTATGGAAAGAAAAGATATTTGTTTGCAAACTTTCAGGGCTTGAAGTGTTATTTGTTTATACACTGTGAAGAAGACTGGAAGTCATTCTTTTAAAATATTTTCTTACCTTCTCTTTTTTCTTTCCTTGCATATGTTATTCTTTTTTTTTTTTAGTCAGCAATTTGCTTTTCTTTGCAATTTGTTTTGTATGTTTTGTTTTTACTATTGTAATCAATAAATAAAAGAAACATGCTATTTATTGCTTGCATATTTTTACTATGTATTACTTACATGGTACATCGATTTTAATGTGTACAAATACCTATGGGCTAACACTGCCAAATCCTACAAATTTAAGGTCCCCTGTGCCCTGTCTATAACGTGTAACTTCAATAATCAAACAGAACATGTTATGGGGGAAAAAAGAAAAAAATGAAAGGAGACCTAGGATAAAGAACAGACTTTAAGAAATGAACTTAGGAAAGCAGAGGAATGCACAAAGATTAGCCAGAAAAACATTTCAAGCAATACACAACAGGAAAAAAAAAGAAACTCAGATAAGAAGAACAGCAATAACCGTTACAGAGGTCCTTGGAGTCCACATACTGGTAGAAAGAATATATAAGATTCCAGAGATCTTTGAAAGTAAATAAGGAGTGATACAGCAACCAATACGGCAAATTATACTCAATGTCATTAAAAAAGAAAGATCTAGATAAAATATAAACATGAATCCATTCATCCACTCATAAAATATAAAAATGAATCCATTCAATCCACAAATCAATTAATTTACAATATCATCTACATTATTTACAACACCTACAAGTTAAAAGCTTTGGCTGAATTAATGTGAGTACCTTGAAAATAAAAAATAAGGTATAGAACAAATATTACAAGAGTTGACCTTTTTAAGCCTTTCATTAGGCCTTATTGAGTACTAGAACAAAATATTTCAACTGGTCCATACATCACAATGTGAAATACCTGAAGTTAAAGTTATGTACATCTGAATCAAGTCATTTATGCACAGAGCATAGTGTCATACCTTATCTTACCTTTGTTCACATATGTCTGGCACTCACTTATAATGAGTCAATGATTGTCTTTGGCATATAATGACAATGTCCAACTTTAGTACCTTTTATTTAAGACTTCTGCGAAACTATTGTAACTAATCGGTTTGGGTTCTGTTCAGTCTAAATACCTTTAAGAAGTTTTGCAGTGCGTCTTGGACAGTGGCTAAGGGAGGCTCTCCATATAAAGCAGAAGCAGTTTTCCTTTCCAGCCATCCCAAATGAGCAACCTACAGAAAAACAATTAAGTAAATTTCATAAAACATGGCAAGCAGCCTGGATCACTTTTATGTAGCCAGAGGTTCCACATGAAATCAAGGAACATGATTTGCATATATTTTTTTTACCCTAAAAAAAAATCTAAAGGTGATGGCGAATTTGTTTGGAGGTATGCTAGCACATTTAACAAAGTGTTCAAAGTATTTCTTTCAGTCATGTATTTGTTTAAATGCACAGAAGTAGATACCTATGTCTCAACACGCAACAAGAACTGCCACATGCCTAAGAATGGATTGGGCCATTACTTCCTCCTGCTAACAATCCTTTGTTCAAGAGATTAAATATCAAGACTATCCTTCCTTCTCTAACATACTATATAGCAAATATGTAGGGAATATATGCTCCTTTTAATCAAAGTTAAAGTCATACTGAAATTTTGCTTTTTATAGGCATGTCCAAAACTGAAAATGACAGTAGGGATTTTCATTTCTTATTCCTTTGAACAACATAAAGAAGATGGTATGCTTTTATGTAATAGCTGCCATATTTATTTGCAATAAAAGGGCAGAAGAAATTGCATGTAAAAGGTTTTACAAATACACTGTATGCAAAAGCCCTGGAGTTCTCTGTAAGATCCATAATCATATCCATATGTTTTCAAAAGACAAGAGGTGATTGTTTTTATGGGGCAGAAGCATGAGAAAAGTAAAAGCGTAAAGCCATAAAGAGTATTTTAAAAAAAAGTTAAATGATCAAAACGTTGAAGTTCGAAACTGTCTAGGATTTTTGCTTTCTCATTGCTTGAAAGACTTGCTTTCATCAAATATTGTTTTACTCTTTTTGCATTTAATTAGCAAAAAAAGAGAAAAATAGTAATCCATCATCAGAAACATTGCTAATTTAGAATGTGCAAATAATCATAGGAATAAAAAGTACTACAAAACCATCCACAGTGGCAAAAAAAACCCCTTATTTTCACAAACACTTTTTTTTAATTCTTAAACATTGCAAATAAGAGTTATTAAAATGTTTATCTAAAGTGGCTGCTCGTGGCCTAAATCAGTTTCAGTACACGCTCACAATATAAATATTTTACTATGCCATATATACAATTCATATAAAGTAAATGTTGGTTGAAAACGGCAATCAAGATGAGTAGAAACAGTGTGCCATTTCATTATAAATCTATTTTACAAATAGATTTTCATCTATTTGTAAAATTAATATTGTATTTGGGTAATACATTTATTTGCATATAACTGTATTTTACTCATGCTTACGTAGATTTGTACTTTGTTCCAGAATATGCATTTTGCTCTTAAACCTGTAAGTGAGCAATCTTTAAATCATGTATCATTACTGAATGAAGTATGTCTATGGAGATTCTCAGTCTTCCAGGTCACAGTTATCCCAAAGATGCTTTTTCACGAGGCAACTGGACTTCCTTGTTTTTCTTGGAAGACGTTTCACTTCTTCAAATCACTGAACCACTCAATGAAGCTGAGTGTTTCTGTGATAATTCTATCAATAGTTAACAACTGGTTACCAATTCCAGACATTTAAATACAAAACTTCCCTAAGGCAGTCAATATTTTATTTTCTGCATACGGGCAGAATTATTTAGTAGGATGGCTCAGAATTTTTTAAAAAAACCATAGCGATGAAAATAATCTACCTGGTAACACCATCGACCTAGGAGATAGTAAGACATGTGGTCATCTGGTTTCAGAGAAATGGCTTCATCTATATGTTTCTAAAGAAAAAGCAAAACAAAACCACACAGGCAAAACAGTTGTTTCATTTGCATTACATTAGGACAGTGATGGCAAACCTTTTAGAGACCGAATGCCCAAACTGCAACCCAAAACCCACTTATGCATCGTCGGGTGCCGGGTGGGCGTGGCCCATTGGGTGGGCGTGGCTGCGGTGGTAACGGCAGACTGGGTGGGACTAAAAAGTTCAATCAATCAATTCCAACTTTGCAAGACCTTTTTTTCCCCTGCAAGAAGTTGAAATTGACTGATTGAACTTTTTTTTTTTTCTACACGGCAGTGGAGGCCTAAAGCGAAAAGGTTTTATAAAACCCAACTGAAGGCCTAGGACTGGGGCGACAGCACGTGTGCCCACAGAGAGGGCTCTGAGTGCCGCCTCTGGCACCCATGCCATAGGTTTGCCACCACTGCATTAGGAAATAACATTCAAAAGGCTGAAATTCAATACAAGCATTCAAGAATTTCATGCGGAAGTACTTGCTAAATTAAAGCAATTGTTCTAGTAAATATACTACTATAGCATTTGCTAATACTCTAGTCTACACTGAAGATGAAATACAAACATTTTTCTCAATTGCCTTGAACTGTGTCTTATAATCCCTTAGCGAAAGGAAGGTATTTTCAGACTTCCAGGGAAGAAATGGTGGACTGAAGAAAGCTCCGTGAATAGTAGAGCTTAAGGCTGTGGCAAAATGAAGACTTGCCAAATAGACTAGCTCTTTCTTCAATAATTTCTCTCCAAACAAGGAATGCTCCAGATAGCCCATTCTACTGTCTTGTCCACAGCTGTCTGATTCACATATATATTTCACAATTTACTAGTTCCTCAAGGATACAACACCACTATCCATCACCACAATTACTGAAAATTCCATTAGAAGAAGCTCTATTATTGGACCCTATCCAATAAGATGCACTTCAATGGTGAGAAAAATAAGGTGCTGTATTTGGACAAGAAAAGCCAAATGCCTAGGTCAGTGTTTCTCAACCTTGGCCACTTGAAGAGGTATGGACTTCAACTCCCAGAATTCTCCAGCCAGCTGTGCTGGCTGGGGAATTCTGGGAGTTGAAGTCCATACCTCTTCAAGTGGCCAAGGTTGAGAAACACTGGCCTAGGTGCAGAATTGAATAGAGGTGGAAGGGAACTTGGCCGTCTTCTAGTCCAGCCACTTCCTCAAGCAGGAGAACTATACCATTTCAGACTTTCTAGTCTCTTCTTACAAACCTCCAGTGATGGAGCACCCACAATTTGTGAAGGCAAGCCGTTCCACTGGTTAATTGTCCTCACTGTTAGGAAGTTTCTCCTTAATTCCAGGTTTGCTTGTCTCTATGGTCAGTTTCCAGCCATTGTTTCTTGTCCTGTCCTCTGGTGCTTTGGAGAATAGTTTGATGCCCTTTTCTTTGTGGCAGCCCCTGAAATACTGGAATACTGCTATCATGTCTCCCCTGTTTCTTCTTTTCTTTAAATTAGCCTAGTCTCTATATATAACTAGTAGACTAGTTTTATATATATATATATATATCAATATATAACATTGGGGCAAGAACAGGGTGGAATGGATGTGAGAGTTTTTTGGTGTAAAATATTGACTAAACTTTTAAATCAAAATTATCACATACATTAATTTTTCAAATAAACCATGGTTATAATCAATCAGTAATATTTGCAACTCATTCTTATTCCATATTGGTGTCTTTCCTACAAGCCTGCCCCCCCCCCCCAGCTTTGCACAAGATTATCATGATTTTCTTTCCCGGAGTAAAAAGCCCCTTGAATTATGCAGTAAAAAGCTTTTTGAATAATAATAATAAAAAGGCAGCCCTACCTACCTTAAAGTCATGTCCAGCTTGAATGCGCTTTTGTATGCTTTCATGTTCTGAACACTGACCACACAGAATAGCATACCTAGAAATTACAACAAGCTTCATCATTAGTACAGTTATGGTTTTGTATTTATTTTTCTGGTATACAGGTGAAATACTTAATCTAAACCTAATATCCTCTCTACAGAAATAGAGACATCCTATCATTTTTGATAGATGGACATCAGTCACTAAAATGTAAGTTACTACAATTTCCTTATTTAGTAAAAAAAGAATATAGCAGAAAATGGATAGAAGTAGTTACATTACATACAATCTTCAATGTTTATTTCCTCATTTAAATTTTATGCCACCCATCTCCCCTGTAAGGGGACTCTGGGTGGCTTACAGGTTATAAAACAAATAGAACAATAATTTAAATACTAAAACATTAAAACTATCCAGATTATGATTTTAAAAACTATACTTAAACCATAAGTAAGAGATGAGATGGGGATGAGGTCTTGTTAACTTGTCAACTACTTCCCGTGGTGAGGGCCCCAGGCCAACTGGCAAAGCTAAATTTTAATGCCCTTCTGGAATGATTTTTGTCATCATAATTTATTTTATATGAAGGAAAATAATCAATGTAATGAAGGAAATATAAATAAATCTGATATCCGAAGGTAAAGTGACAATTGGTTTATCAAAGTAAGTCAATAGCACTCAGTTCAAAGTTTTAAGTTCACAAATACAACATGTTATTCTTAGTCGGCCAAAGACCAGTTGCATATTGCTAAATGAAATAATGTCCACAACGGGAAAGAAAAATAAAATAGGCAGTGCCAGAATAGGCACTTTGGGTCTCATTCAATGAACAGTCTTACAATTAACCATCATTCCTTTTGTAGTTAGATATGAAGAAAAATTCTTCTCTTTTAATACTGATCTAACCCTAATCCCTTATAGCAGTGGTGGCGAACTTATGGCACGGGTGCCAGAGGCGGCACTCAGAGCACTCTCTGTGGGCACTCTCGCCATCGCCCCAGTCCTAGACCTTCAGCTGGGGTTTATAAAATCTTTGCATTTTAGGCCTCCGCCGCCATGTAAAAAAAAAAAAGTTCAATCAATCAGTCAATTTCAACTTCTTGTGGGAAAAAAAAAAGATCTTGCAAAGTTGGAATTGATTGATTGAACTTTTTAGTCCCACCCAGTCGGCTGTTACCACCGCAACCATGCCCACCCAATGGGCCACACCCACCCAATGGGTCACACCCACCTGGCACCCGATGATGCATAAGTGGGTTTTGGATTGCAGTTTGGGCAAGGTTCGCCATCACTGCATTATAGCAATTAAATGGTTCTGAAAACCAAAGCTGAGACAAAAGTTCTGAATATTCAAGAAATCATGTTAAATTTTAGTGCAAGAACTCAAATATTATTAAATTGATGTAATGAAGATTGTTACAATAATACTGAAATTTAATATGGCCACTAAAAATAAGCCTTTTACCAAATTGTTTAGAAAAGAGAATGCCAGGTAAACCCTACATGAACTCTTACCACCTCCAAAACAATAGTTCATTACTGTCACATTTGCTGCAAGTGTGCACCAAGTCAATCACTCTTTACTGCAATTCATTATACGTGGAGATGCCCTTGAAACCACCTGAAAACTTCAGCTGGTGCAGAATATGGCTGCTCAGGGACTCACTGCACACACATATTGTCACGTGATATTGTAGAACGTTGTTTGGATTGTCAAGATGGAGTAGCTGCATTCCAGAGGAGCAAGAGACAGTGACAGTTTTGATAGTGTCAAGTCCCTGTTGGAACGCTGCCATTCCAAGGGGAGGGAACGGGCTATTTGGGGTTTGAAGAATTTGTTGCTTTCACTTTGATGTATTACTGTGGGAAATAGGGAGGGAGGAATGGGCCATCAGGCCATTTTGGATGGACTACTTTTCAGCCAGTTTCAGTCTGTTACCAAGGCCCCGGCGCCAAGTTGACAACTTGTCATCATCTTTTCGTCTCGGAGTTCTCAAAACACCTTTATGCCTGTGGATTGGCTCCTGTTGGACTGGAGCACTGGGGTGGGGTTTGAACAATGGGGAATTAGCTTAACGTTTTCACAAGGGAACTTCAGATTCCGCCTAGCTTCTCTGCAATTACTTTCTCTCAGTAAAAGTCCCTTTTGAAATACCATTGGTTTCAAGAGTCATGCTTTCCTGAAAAGATAGCTGAGGCAGGACCTTACAGATAGTTTGGTTGGGAGTAAGAGGGCCAAGGCAGTCCTCCGTAGAAATTCTCAGGTATATGTTTAATGATAATAAGTTTGCTTTAGTTTGGCAAGATTTCTGTCTACAGGTGAAGAACAATAAGGGAAGCTGCTTTGAGGTTATTCAGCGTGTCTTTCTTGGTTTTTGGAGCCTGACACCTAAAAACATGGCTACTGAAGCTGCACTGGCTACCAGTTCATTTTCTCACTGAAATCATCTAAACACTCCATATGGCTTTTGGGCTGGATATCTTAAGAGACTGCCCATCCCAAGTAAATTCAGTTCATCTGATGTGTGGATGAAGAGAGGGCCTACCAAAGATCTCCTCCTATTAGCAGGTACTACCGGTAGAGGCACAGAAGCAGAGGTTCTTGGAGACTACAGTACTTCTTCCCTCCTCTAGGAAAGCTTATCCCAGATGCCAGAATAGCTCACACTATATGTAGCATTCCAGAGAATTACTGAGACCTGACTATTTCAGGAGACTTCTGGAGATGAACGATTGAAATAAGCTCTGTGGCAATTGTGGCATTATTATTTTACTGCTTTGTGGTTTATTTTATTGTATTATTAGCTGCATTGTCTTATGAACTTATCTATAGATTTCTTAGCACTTCTGGAATGTGGGGCTTTACCACATTATAAATACATAAGTAACTAACTAAATAAGCAAGAAGAATTTAACAGAACAGAGAATAAGAAAGGTAACCTTGACAAAAATACACAAGAATTGTTAGCTACACAAAGAGGTATGCTTAACATTATTTAAATCCTGGGGAACAAGAAAATGTTTGGAAGGAGTATAAGAAAGAGGAAGATAAAGCACAATTAGATTTGCAAGATTCTGTTACTAAAGCCAATCTCAAAGTGTACTTCTGGTCTTCCTATGGAGCTGTTTCCTACTGAGCTATTTTCTAGTCTGATCTACTTAATGGGGCTGTCAACCGAGCTTCAGCAGTGGCAGTGTTGTGAAATATTTTCCACCTCAAAGCTACAAGCTTAAATGTATTTCTTAAATGTATTTAGGAGTAAGCCAAATGAAACTCAGTCAGGTTCAAGCATAGGATGGGGCTAAGCTCACTTTTTATTTTCTTTTTTTCTATTCCTGTTTGAGATACCAGGCCAAGACAAGAAATCAAGGAGTGTCAAACAAAAGCAAAACCCATACTCTGCATAGCAACAGTAAGGAATATCTGGGACAACAAAATGAATCAGCCTCATGGGCTAACAAAGTCAATACCACACATTCTCCCACTGGTTCAGATAAAATTTCACTTCTTGGGAAAGAAACTGGAAATATATTTAAAGTTTCATTAGTCTTGTCTTTCTTTCCTCCCCTGCTGCTATCCCACAGCATAAGACTGATGGTTCAGATCTTGGAGCAATGCCGGGTGTCTCCAAAGTGAACAGATTCTCATGAACTTTGGCCAGCTGAAAAAACAGAATCAGTCACCTAGGACTGTAAGGAAATACACAGTCTTGTCTAGATTAGACCTCATGGTGAACTATATATCTTGCTTGCTTTTTTAAAATTTTACAAAACAGAATATCTACATCCCATTCTTTTAGCCAACAGGTGGCTGGCTAACCAGAAATTTTTAAAATAAAGCAAAGTATTACATTGCAAAATAAAATGATAGAATAAGAATAGTCTTATTATGACAAGACTATTCAGATGCAGAATTAGCAACTCCAAACCAGGTTTTAGGCAGTTAAAGTAACACAATGCAATAGAGAAGGCCATGAACAAACATAACTGAGCTTATCTGGTTATTTCTTAGAGACAGAAATATATTCATCATGAGGCTATTCCAAATCCAAATGAACTATTTTTAGTCTCTATTTTTATTCATTACCAATTTGAACAGCTCTCAAAAATGCACAAAATACTTCTCTAATGTGTGCTGAGTACTATAAATCATTCTCTGGAGTAACTGGTTCAGTACGCAGAGAAACCAAATTGGCTTTTATGACACTTTTGGACAATAAGTCATAATTTATACAATTTTGAGGTCTCCTCCCTTTTTGTTCCTATGTTTAATATATTATATTTTAATTTTTCCCAGAAAACATAGAAGAATCGACAACTGAAAGCTATGGAGGATACACCCTGAGAAGTTTAGTCCCCACTATTTCCATTTGTGATTCAGCCAGATTTCAATAATAATAATAATAACAACAACAATTTGTTTTCATTAATGTCTAAAATTTGTTAATATTTTATTCAGACTGTTAATCATCTTGAGACCACCAAGGGTAGAAAGATAGTTATAAACTCAGTTTCAGCAAAAGATCCCTGTTTGGAATATAAAGAAAACACTGGTTTTAAATAAGCCCAGATTTTCATAGGAAAGCTAGTGCTGAGGAATGGGAGACAAACAGGATGATATATGACTTGCTTCTCACTTCAGAAGATTGGAACTTTACACCCAAAACAGACCACAGAATGGCTGAACTGATGAAACTGCACCATCTGTTAGAGAAGGGTCATTTCTTTTACATTCTTTGTAAATACATCAATAGTAGACTTTTGATAGTTGAAGATCAACAATGACACAAAGTCTGAAAATCTCAGCAGAACAACCCACTATAAAACGGCACAGATAAAACAAATAAAACAGCAGTGAATAGAGGAAATCATTGAAAAAAATCTCACAAAAGTTACCAGTCCATTTACTTTGCTATGTGATTCTCTCCCTCTCTCCCCCCCACTCTCTCTCTCTGACATTTCCTATGCAGGAACCAACACAGATGTCTATAGTGTGGAGGTTTTATCAGAATCATGAAATATGTGTTGTGATGTGATGCAAGCTCTAACTTTTCTTATCTCACATTTTTCATCGTCCTCATTTCAGCATCACAACATTTAATTGTTTTGCCATGGAGCCAGTCACTTTTTAATAAAGTGGACATTATAAAATGGAGGGACAAACTACAGATGAATGAGAAACATGTTTTTCCAACTTCCTTGTTTGTGTAGATGTGTCAAGGATAGTAATTTCTAAGCACCTAAACAGATACCAGAACCAACACCCAATTCCACCATAGAGCCCAGAATGACATCATGACTAAGAATATAGGAAACCATAGGCAGAAGACCCTGTTCAAGGTCCTGGGGACCAGGTGTGTTCTCATCCATCTTTCCAGTGAATTAAATATGACCAAAAAGAGTAAGAACAGTATTGCAAATGAATGATTGACTATAGAAAAGATATTGGTTTTGTTTCTGGAATCACTGCTTGAGTACCTAGATCAGGGGTCTTCAAACTTGGCCCTTTTATGACTTGTGGACTTCAACTCTCAGAATTCCTCAGCCACCTTTGACCTAGATGATGGAGCCCTGGGATGTTATTTGTACTTCATTGTCAAAAACTGCCCTCGCCCAACATATTACCAGATTAAACTGAAAGGCTTCTCTGTCTATATACTAAAGTTCAAATTATGAAAAACAAACAAGATGATTTTGAAATATGTCAACAGTAATAAATAAAAACTGATAGCACAATCCCCAGAATCAGTATCACCATCATCATCATCATCATCTACTAAACCTACATGCTACCTTTCCCAGCAACTCTGAACAGTTGTTAAAATATTTAAGAAAAAAATTAATATATTTTAAATTCAAATTCATAAAAATACAAGGATATTATTTAGAAGCAACTCAACTTATTTAGAAACACTGCAGCTTAAAGTGCTGCAGTGTTTCTAAATAAACATCTCAATCCTTCTACCGGTAAAGCAATACATTCCCATAACCAATTCCATTTAGCCTGAAGGCCAGTTCAGTCTTTCTGTATTGCAGACAGCTTTGTAAGCTTTCAGTATTTTTTTTTTTAAAATAACATGAATAAACTGATGTTACATCTGCACCCTCTTCTCCGAAGGGATTACTAAAATCCCATAATGTTCTAGCTGGACTTCCACCTCTTCTTAAAACATCAATTTCTGAAGCCAAAGCAAATATGCAATCTCCCATCTTGGTTTTTAAATCAGACAGAAAATTTTTAAGAAATGCAAAAGCTACAGACATCCTAAAGAAAGGGAATTCAGTGTTTTTCTTTCTCTTGCTAGCTCTGAGAATTTGCATATTGACAATTCAGCAAATTAAGCAACTGCTATGTATTTCAGAGTTGTCCCAGAGTTTCGACCCCTTTTGCATGTTTCTTTTTCTAAACTACATGATTAAACATTACAACTAATATAGTATCTTATATAAAAATCAGCTACCAGACTTATTTGAAGACACGTTTCTCATGTGTTACATCGCACAAAAGAAGTATTGCTTTTAGAAATAATATGTACTGGGCTCCCATCCCAAGCAACTTAGGAGGCAAACAAAAGCAGCTGACTTTAATTTGTAGTTAGCATCTTTTGTGGAAGCTCTCTGAGTGGAGAAAAGCATCTCGGGAAGATGTTGCTTAACTGTCCTCTCTGTGAGGTGGGGAATAAAGAAAGGGGTAAAGTAGAGGACAATATGGACTGACTGACCATCTGTAAAATGGCAAACATGAGAGAGAAAGAGAGAGAGAAAGAGAAAGAGAGACAGGGAGGGACGGAGGGAGAGAGAGAGAAGAAAGAGATGCTGTGATGGTTGCCAATATGGTCAATGGGTACAACGTTACTTTTTTATCAATGTTGTTAACTGAGGCAGTTGCTAAGCAAGATCTACCTATACTATGTGAGCTATGACATTCTGTCTCCTCTGTTGCTCCTCTATTCCTGAAGCAAACAGCTGAGACCGCAGGACCATTGGCCTCTCAAGAGCCTAATGTGCAAATCTAAAGCTTCTAAAATGTTCTGCCAAATATATATATTTAATACAAGTGTGGAATAATTATATGTGCAGCATTAAAGTAATTCAATTTTTATTTCATTTAATTAAAATCAGTTTAGCTTCTAGCCTGCCTTCACTTAAACCACCAGCATATCTTTCAAAGGACAAATGTGATCTGGAAAAATTTCTTGTACGCTTCTCCTCCAGATTTTCCTTTCTTTAAGAAGCATATGGAGTCCTCTGAATAGAAATGGCAATTCAATAAAACCTGTCTTGCATTGTGATGTGTTCAATGCTGCCAATGTTTAACTAAAAAACAAAACAAAAAAACAGTTTGCCTACACTTGAGAGTTAATAGGTAAGATCTTAAGAGAATCCAGGTCTTTCCCATAATTCCTGCCCAGCAGAAAAGATAGAATGGATGTCCATCTGTAGATAGATATTATGGCAGCTTCCTATCTCACACATTTTGATAGTCAGAATACAAGGAATTAAGAGCTGTAGCATTAGCACTGTTTGCTCGTAATTGCTGCATGATTAATCTATACTGCATTCTAGAAAAAGGCACTACTTTATAGATCTTTGGCAGCCACATGGATCTATATGTACATCTGCTAATACAATTCACCTCCTTTCATCCACCTGAGCACTTCTAACCCAGTATTTTAATATCATTTAGAATTCGAAGCATCTTACTTCAATTGTGCAATTTTAGCAGAATGAAAAAATCAGAGCTCAATTGCCACAGAATTCTATTTTTGCTTGAAAAAAGGTAATTAATACTACTAGTACAATACTTTTCATATAGTCAATCTGAGCAATAAAACTATTTGTCTATAGTAAGAGATGTAAAATAATTTAGACATTTGTACTAAAATTATTTTGTATTGGATATATTATTAGGATAGAGCAGTAAACTGAGGAGAATTCATGAGAGATTAACACCAATTGCATTTTGAGAATTAGAGAATTCTCATTCACTAACAGTGAGGGGTGGACGGACAGAAATTCAAATAGACACATAAAATAAACCTCCTAAATAAGTGTTCTGAGCCCATTTGCACATGGCAATCAAGAACTAAAGGTGGGGAGGAAAACATTTACCATGTTAATTATGGAGAGTTCGCAACTTATGACAGCAACTGGGAGTGGAATTTCCAACCACACTGCTTAGTGATGGCAATTCTGATTGCCATTGGTAACCAAATGTCACGGTTGTCAGGCAAGGCAACTTCCTGCCAGCTTCCCACAAGACATTAGGGAAGCCAGAAGGAAATTGCAAGATCCAAGCTGGCAGGCAGATAAGTGACTATTGCTGGGTGGGGGAAGGAGGTAGAGGGTGCAGGTCAGCAGTGGTGTGGGAGAGATACAGCACAGGTCGAAGATGGTGCACAAGAGGCACAGCATGGGTTGAGAAGGGTGCGCAAGAGGTGCCGTGCAACAAGGGGGTATGCAAGAGACACAACACAGGTCAGTGTGGCTGCACAGTGGTGTGAAGGGGTGTGTGAGTGTGAGGATCAGGGAGGGTGCACTAGGGTGTGCAAAGATGTAGCACAGGTTGGGGAAGATGCATGAGAGAGCTCTGGGGTGTGCAAGTGGCTATTGCCACATGAGCACAGAGGAACTGGGGAGGGTGCACAGGTGGGAGAGACATATCCCAGCAGCCTGTGATCTTCCCTGCCATTGACTTTCGGGGGAAACCAGCAGGGAAAGTTGCAAATGGAAATCATGTGATTCTGGGGCACTGTGTAACTTACGATTCGTTGCCAAGTGCCCAGATCGCAATCACATGACTGTGAAGATAGTGGGATGGCCAGAATTGAGGACTGAGCAACCATCTTTTATTCAATGCCATCGTAACTTCAAACAGTCACTGACTGAATGGTTGTAGGTAATAATAACCAGGACTATCTGTGAAGTCAGAAAACACTTCTGCCAAGTGAGCAAATATTCCCCAGAGGAGGGTAATTTCTGGATTGCATTCCTGTTAAAGGTTTTTTTTTCCTAAATAGCTTTTCTCTTCCCTTATATATGTATAAAATAAACAACTACATACCATTGGTGACATTCAGCACTTTGATCTCCTAACTGCAGAGCCATTTTGGCCTCTTCTTTGCCTGCAATATAACCCAACTTTTTAATCTTTGTCAAAGCGAGATTTAACATTGTATGAAATCTTACATACCGTATATGCCGGCGTATAAGACGACTCCCGGAAGCGCTAAACTCGGCGCCAAAGATGGGGGTCGTCTTATACGCCGAGTAGTCTTATACGCCGGAAATACTGGTAGTTTCCGGCGTATAAGACGACGTTCTAGGAAGGCGGCTCAGCGATAAAGACGGGGGTCGTCTTATACGCCGGGTCACCTAATATGCCGGCATATACGGTATTTATTACCGAATGCTGGGTGTTCATATAAAATGCCTAAAACTCTGTACGTTTTGCAGTTAGCCACTTTAGCAAATAATATCTATCGTATAAGGATTTAGCTGTCATTATAGCTGTCAAAGCTATAAGATTGCTGATTTCTACTGAAGTCAAATTCTTTCAAACTTCACTTTCAGTATGTATAAAACTATCAAGAGAAAATACTCAGTGTAGGTAAAATTCAGCCTACAGAAAAGCTGGGATTTTGATTTAAGTACAAAATACACACGATTTCTAATATGAGAAACAAATGGTCAATTAACAGAAATAAAAAGAAGACAATATAAGAAGCAAAGGGAGTTGGATGACTATGATAATCGTTATGTTCAGAAATCTGAAAAGTTGTCTATAACTTGGCCAAGAATCAGAAGTGTGGGCTAGCACAAATATACAATCTATTTGGGTAAAGATAACCGCAGCATTGTGAAGCAATATTGTTTTCTGTTTATCTAAACTCTTTTCAGTCTACCTATTTTTAATGTAATCTGTTGTTTTTACAATAACCCGAATAAACTTCAGCAAAATGTTATTTCCAGAAAATGTTTTCCAGGTTAGGTGAATAAATGTCTGACTGAATTTAATTGGTAAAAAAAAAATCAACTAAAATTTCTTCTTACCATCACATGCATACAATTGCCTCTCCTCTGTGTCTTCTGTGATTTCATACAAATCACTGTAAGCTCGGGCCAGATGCCAAAGGAAATCCTGCTTGTCACCATACTGTAGACAGAATGAATAGCAGTTTATGTTTGCATTTCGTTTCTTCTAGATTAAGGCAAATGGTCCATATACCATGCAGCACTTTGTTTCAGGGCTAAATTATAATGTGGCTAATGTGTTAAAAGGTAGACTTCGTCAAATCAATATTTTTTAAAAAATCTCTTCCATTTGGTTGAAGTACAAAAACATTTTGGCTCTTTTATATGAAATAGAAAAATGGAATTATTCCAGTTTCTGGGTGAGGACTGGCTTTCTGGATAAGGAATAATGACAGTTGAAACTCCCTGTGAGCAGCTCCGCCAGAGAGGACAGCACTGTGGTGAAACTGCCAACCAGGAGCCAGGTTCTAGTTGATGAAAATCTCTCCAAAGAGGAGAGATCCAGGGATCACCCACTTGTGCTCTGGAAGAACTGTTCCTCATGAGGTAACCAGAGGAATTGAGTTTCTCGTGGTTGAACACTACTTGAGCAGGTTGAGAGACGAGGAAACTACAATGTGCCCTTAAGCTCTGTGCTGCCTCAATGGGCCTTTGACCAGCAGAAACCCCACTTTCTTAAACATCTTAATAATTAATTACCTTACAACCTAAGAGAAATATTCCAAAATGCAAATGGAAGATGAAAGACTCTCAATGAGTGCCTTATTTTTGAAATTAAGAACGGGAAAAACATTGTTTTTAGTGGATTTTGATTTAAAGGCAAAAAGCTTAACAGGTTTGTGATCCAAGTAAGTTCACAAACGGATAAAGTTTAAAAAAAGTTTAAAAACACATTTTAAAAATGGGATTTAAAAGAAAACCAGAATTTTTTTTTCTGACAAAGTATCTTTAAAAATAGCAAAATTAATTAGGCTAAAAGATCTTTATGGGAATGCTGATTATTTATTAAGGACAATAAATAGCTTGTGTGTTTTACAAAATAAAAATACAAAGATGATACAGATGTAATTGTACTTAAGGAAATTCCACAGGGGAAGAAAAGAAACTGAAGGTGAGATTCCTTCTCTATAAACAAATTTGGGATTATTATTTTTGTTGCTTATGTTATAAAATCTGTTGCTTTTTAAAGATTAACATATAGCCTTTTTGGAAATATAAAAAAGCTTGGATATATAACTTTGCAGAATAATTATCTTTAGTGGGGGAAAAAGTTTGATGACAGCTTTGTTATTGACATAGACATGGTCAAATTTCACTTTTATTAACCTTAGAATATTTACTATTAAATTATTTAATTTACAGGAAACATGCAATTCAATGCTCTTAAATTAAGCCAAGTCTCAGCCACATTGAGTATTCTAATTTCTTACAAGAGCAATGGTTAGTTTGCATTTAGTTTAGTTGCTTGGATTTATTGATATGGTTTAGGTAGGACTTTGCACAACTCCTGTATTCTTTTCTGCATTGTTAATTCACACACACATTCTTTTTCCAGAAAAAGCAATTAAGAGTTACCACAGGTTTATTGTTAAGCAGTAGTTGGAAACCTTCTCTCTTCTCCTGGTCAGTCCCCCTGTGTAAGCTATCGGCTTGGTGCAGCAACTGAGCAAGTTCTTCTTCTGAAGCAGTGTCCAAACTCAGCGCTGCTTCATCTTCATTGACAAGGTCCAGGGAATCTCTTCTTCCAGTTCTAACTGTTTCACAGCTGATTTCATCTTCTCCTTCATCACTCTCTTTATCAGATTCCCTATCATAATCAGATTCTGCATTGGCCGTAGTATAGCTTTAAAGAAAATACAGTTATTTATACCTCCGTGTCAACCACATGCAGAATTTAAAAATCAAGTAACCAATGTCTAAATTCATATTCAACAATAAGCCAGAACTTGGGGAATTCACAGTGAGCAAGCAGTATGTCCCATTCATTCTAAGTGGCTCATGCTAGGTACTTTAATATACCATTAAACTAACAAGAAAGCAAATATTATTTCAATTTTGGTTCTTGGCTTTTTGCATTTCTTAAATAAAGATGGCAAACCAAGGCATGCTCCTGACTTATGAGTCCTGGCTTCTTATAGAGCAAGTGAGTAATCCAGTTTGAAAATCCAGTTAAATTTCAGATGTTGGCCCAATCAGAAAGAGCCTAGTGGGCAAAAATGTGTGGCATATACAAACATGTAACTGATTCATTCATCAAATCTTCTGGAAACTCATAGCTTACACTGTATGGAAATTATTTTGACAGCAAATGCAAATTAAATTGCTTACTAATGCCTTGATCTCCTGATCAGCCAAATTACATTTAACTATTCCTTGTTCTAAACTAAATGTTCCTCACCCCCCCTCACTTTCTCCATCGTCTGTATTGCCAGCTCCGGAACTGGCTGTGAAATATATTGAGCTGGATCCTGTGGAATCACTTCTTTCTCTGGGGTATATAAATCGCCTCCGCCGAATAACCTTTTGGCTTTCTTCTAGATGAGACCTACAAAGTTAGAGATTGGCACGACAATGAAACCTTACAACAATCAATAGTCCATTTCTTTTTGCCCAACTATCAAAACAATTTCCCCCCTCAAAAATTGGGATACAACTTACAAAATATAAATTATTAAAACATATTTATAAACGTTAAAATACCTATAAAATGGCCATAGTCAGCAAATAAAATTAAACAGGTAGGGCACATACTTATATGAAAAGAAAAATCTTCAATTGGCAAAAAACAAATACAAGAATATGATCTAACCTACTGGGACAGGTTGTTACCAAGGAAAATATTCTCAGAATGTATTTTTAAATAATAATTTGCTTTCATGACTGTATTCTCATAGTATTATGGAAACAATTGCTCCCGAAAAATGCTGAACATGGATTAAAAGCATGACATCTGTTCTCTGAGTGTCTTGAACATCAGATAAACATTAGATAAAATGGCTAGCTTTTCATCCTGATGGGAAACTCCCTCCAGATCATGCTCTGGATTTCAGAAACAGGTTCATCATCTGCTGGCTATCTAAATTTAGTTAATTTAAGCAAAGTAGGTCATTTGCAATTCTGCACTTTTTTGAGCAGAAAAAAATTGAGGGGAACAACGTCTTCAAATTTCTTCAGGGAAATGAAACATTCTCCAATAGCTTCTCAAGGGCATCGTAATGGCAGGACCGTTGCAACAGGAAAAGCCCAAAGGGAAGCATTGCTTCATTGATTTGACCCTGAAAATTTTAATGAAGCATAAGAGGCAAAGAAGCAGGCAGACCACTGGAGGAGACATCAAAATAAAAGAAAGGATAAAAACAAAAAGCTGAATTTAGCAAAGGCTATTAAACCCAATATTATTGGAAACTCGTTGTTTCAGATTAAAATTGCATGTCCAGCTTTACAATAAAAACTTTGCCTCTTTTCCACATCCTTTTTTAGAAAGGACAGTCTCCCATTTCTTACACTGTTACAAAATGAAGCAATAATGGTAATGATACAACAGTTGTTTTGACATTCAGAATTATTAGGTTGTTCTTTCTTCTGCTAAAAAATAAAAATGAAGCTAGGGACCACTGGTAGGTTAGACTAAGAAACTAACTGCTCTGCAGATAACAGCAAGAGTAAAAATGTCACCTAGTGATCTCACACAAATCTTGATTAATAGTATCTGGATTCTGCTACTTGGAATCTTCTGTAGCCTGGAATGTGAGAAAAACAGATACACACCTGACTTCTTCAATAATTCCTCCAGCTAAACTTTGTAGGCTGTTCCGTAATTCTTGCATCTCATGTCGCAACTCTATAAGGCTTCTGAGCACAAAATCAAGACGATTTAAGACTTCAGCCTGCTCTTCATGCGTTAGAAGAGATGTATATGGAACGCTATCACCACCCTCCACTGGTTCTGGTCTCATCCATGGAACTAGTATGAGAAAAATAAAATAATTACTGAAAAGTTACTTCATCTGTACTGCACAAAACTGTGGCTAGTGGTAATTTTTAAAATTTTAGATATGTGGACATAGAACTACGTACATGCATTTGATTGACTGGCTCTAATCCTAATTTTATATCCAGTTATTTCTTAATCAATTTACAATAAACAAATATCAATTTAAATTTCTGTGCGACATACTTCTGGGACTGATGGAGTGTGAATATCTCTGCGTTAGGTTGGTATCTAGGGACAGCATAGGGTTCCTGCTCATATACTGACTGCCCTGTTCTGAGGAGGATCTCTTGGCATGGGGATTGTTCTTGTTGCAGAACTGGAACAGGAGTTTCTCTAGATATTAGTGCTGAGGGATCTTAATTTTCATGCCTTAGGAAGGATATCTGGCAGGGCTCAGGTTTTCCACAGGGATCACGGATCTGTCCTAAGCAATCCTGGATGCCACACACACAGCTGAAAGCTGTTGAATCTTCTCTAGGAGGACTTGTATTGGTCATTGAAAGCCATTACTGAATCACACTGATATTGTGGGTACCACAATGATTGCCAGTAGAGACTATTAAATTCCTAAATGGCTTGGCTCCTAGGTTATGGTATAGCCACTTTCTACAAGTAGATCCTGTCCTACATATTTGTCCAAGAAGGAATGCTGTGCATTGCGATTCATATGAGCTAAGGAGCCTGGGGAAGCTGTTTCATAGCTAGTGGTCCCTGCCTTATGGAGCACTTTCTCCTTTAGCAACAACTGGTTTCATTTCAGAAGTCAATCAAAATCATCATTTTGTCTAAAATGATTTCTTATATCTATTTTGCTTATTTTTACAATATTTTATTATGTTTTATTTATACAATGTTACGCTTTTAGACATATTAATTGCCAAAAGTCTTGGGACTCACTCAAGCAGGAAGGGACCAAATTCACAGATAAATACAGACATTTCACACAGAGATCTGAAGAAGTGGGTCTGAATTGAGAAATCAGAGCCCAAATCTAGCTTTTGGAATGTATCTCATAATAATTCTGATACTACTGAAACACAACAACTTGGTATCTCAGTAAGCAGTCTTTATTTTTCTGGTAAGTGGCATGGAAGAAGAATATGCATTAAACGTATAAATGGAAATGCTTTGTTACATTTCTAATTCTATTTAAAAAGGCCTCTTTGCACTGTTGAAATTATTTTAAAATAATTAGAATAGAATTCATAATTTCATTTAGGAGAACAAAGAGACTGTGGTCTCAGATCATATCTACGCTGGAATTAAGCAAAGTAGAAGGGAACACTGGCACCAAATTTCAAATTGAATGAGGAATAATGATCTAATATACTCTCTCACTACCAATTTGGTCTCATGGTTAAGACACCAGGGTTGAAACCAGGAGATTGTGCATTCTTATCCTGCCTTAGGCATGAACGACATCAGGCTCAGGTGATAAGCCAGCCCATGACTTCCTGTCACAATTAATGGATCAACACATGGTTGATTCCCCCCCCCCAAAAGCAGCCCCAAACCTGTGGGAAAAATGCTAGGAAGAAAAATATCTTATTACTCTGAGTAAGTACAATCTTGAATAAATAAAAATGCCAAATAAATTAAGCATCAACTTACCCTGATTATAAGGCTGAAGGGTTTCTGCATGTTCATGAACATACATAGCATTTTGCTGACAATGTACAATTGGATATCTTGAACTGTTTTCCTGACTGGGCTTCTTTCTCTTCTGTTTGTAGAAGTAAAAGATGAGACCTATTCCTGCAGCTGCTCCAAGAACTATACCAAACCCCATACGAATAACCCCTGTTTTGGGCATGATTCATCTAAAGTAAATTAAATAGAAAGAAATTATCCCACGCAAGAGAAAGGCCTACGTCATATATTAACAATAACCGTCTGAACCTAAAATTACTCTTAAGTATTTTTAAGGACAGCACATGGCAACATAATTTTGTTTCAACTATATATGCTTGACAGTATATCACTTTAAAAATAAGTAATATAAGTACAATAATGCTTTGTAGATTCAATAGCAATTCCTTACTTAATTTCACTAGAGTTAATTGTTTTTTTCTGAGACAATATCAGAACATTTCTTTAAAATTTAGACTTAGCTTATATAATTGTTTGAAGACACAGGAGATCATTTAAAGACCCTGGATACTGAAAATAATGTGACTTTAGGCACTCCCCAACATGTACCACTTCTGGAAAGTTTTGTATTACCTGATTTTTGCAAACTGGAACCTGACCAAGTATCTTCTCCCCCAAATCAAGCTTACAAATTTCTCAAGGGATGGCTGACAAATGGATAAATGAAACTTAAAGGCTCTTCTGGCACTTGCTGCCCATCTTATGGTTCACTCTACTATATTTATCTATATCTCTTGCTGCTTTGGATCTATACACCACACCATTTTTTCCATGCCTTAAAAATTATATGACTTATAGAAACAGTTGCATGAAGTCCAATTTATGTGAGTCATGTAATGCTCGATTTACAACTGTTCACTTAGTGATCATTCAAAATTACAACGGTACTGAAAAAAGTGACAATTTTTCACACTTCTGATCATTGCAGCACCCCCATGGTCATATGATTTACATTCAGATGCTTGACATCACATTTATGATGTTTCAAGTGTCCTGGGGTCATGTAATCATCTTTTGCAACTTTTTGACAAGCAAACCCAATGGGGAAGCAGATTCACTTAACAACCGTGTTACTAATTTAACAACTGCAGTCACTTAACAAATGTGGCAAGAAAAGTTGTAAAATAGGACAAAACTCACATAACAAATTTCTCACTTAAATTTTGGGCTCAGTTGTGGTCATACGTTGAGGTCTACGTATACAACCTCGGAAGCCTCTGTACAAGAATGGGAACATCCAGTTAAAAAGTTTCATGCGTTTTCCTATAGTACAGTGGTTCTCAACCTTTTTAATGCCGCGACCCCCAACCGGTCGTAAGTCGAGGACTACTCAACCGGTCATAAGTTGAGAACTACTCAACTGCTGCAGCACCGTTTGCAGAATGGGACTTTTGGCAGGCTCAGCAGGGCAGAGACACCCTGGACAATTCCTATTGGCTTTTGAAAGCCAATAGAATTAGACTCTATTCAAGAGAGTCTATTCTATTGGCTTTCAAAAGCCAATAGAATAAAAGGGAGTAGCACAGCTAAGGAAAAGGGGAAAAAATGGCGGACTGCGTTGTTTGGCGACCCTCATGAAATGGTCGTTGGACCCCAAATGGGGTCCTGACCCACAGGTTGAGAACCACTGCTATAGTACAAAATGACAAGCCCAGCAACTACTTTAATATTTTCACTTTAAAACAAGATGCTGGACCTATCCTCAGAGTTTGCAACCATTTTAAAAAACAGTATCCATATTTTTCTTTTTGATGGTCAAGTTTTCAAGTCAACAAGTGATGAAACCAACCATGCAACTGTCACATAATCAAGTATAACTGGCCTTTTCTATAGTCAATACTTATGAACAAAGATACCTTTTGTCATTTTTTACTGTGGGCACACTGGCACACATTAAAAATGAAATTCTGTTGCCTGCTCTCAAGCGTAAACATACATAACACACATATAGACATGCTATATACATACATATGTATATACCTACACCCTTACATACAAATACATATAAATATTAATCACTGTTCATCTTCATCTATATTGTTGCTAGGCGCCGGAAACGACTCGATGACACACAAATCAATCGATCAATCGCGCTCAATACAACCTTGTGAAACAACGGACCTCAACACTTGGATTCCTGCCTCTGACGTGGCAGGGAACGAAATGCGAGCAGCCCAGTCACCGAATATGTTTGAGATGGAAATTCAGATCTTGCCCACGCGGCTTAGGAGAAGTGAAATTCAAAGAAGCCGCTAGCGTGTAATCACATTTCGCTTCTTAGACATAAGGGAACCCTGCCAATACCTACCGCACTCACGTGATGACTTAAGAGACAGCGGGAAATAGCGCAAGGTGGCACCCGCTTTCGAACCAAGCGGAGCGCACGTGTGTCTAGGGAATCGTTGACACTTAACGCTTCTCCAACGCAATTGGTTTTGCATTTCAGAGGGAGAGGGAGGAGCCGTGTTAGCCTATTCACACGCTGAAAAGCAAAGTGCCTAATGTCGCCCTCGAGACGGATCGCGTTATTCTCCCCTCCTGCCCGGAACACATGCCTTTCCGCCCAGCAAAGGTAGAAACTATTATCGGAGTGCAATCCCCATGACCCTGTGAGATTTACATCCGAAGGCAGCCGCACATAAAAGGGTCTTATAGAGAAATAAATCCAGCAGAGTCAAACTAAACAACGGGAGCTACCAAGCGGGACTCTCACCACGTAATTTAAGTATTCCCAACACCGCTTCGCTTCCTGCGTGGTACGTTCTCAAGCGGCCACCGTCCACCGCGGTTTTTTCCCCTTCACCTTCCGGTTCTGAAGCCACACCGCTCCCTTCCCCATAGTCGCATTACAATGATATCATCGCCCTGCTCCGCTGTTGGGTTTTGCCTTTCAACTTTGTCCGGCCCTTGACAAGCCAGGTTTTTTTGCCTGTGTTTTTTTTTTAAAAAAAAAAATGGCGCGGAGAATTGACGCAAGGTCACGCCTCTATTTCGTAAACCGTTTGTTTCAAAGCATGTGCCTAAAGAGCCAATGAGGAAAAAAGGAGAAAGTGGCATGGGCGGGAGAAGTGAATGTGTTATTAAATCTGGACCTAGAGCCTTTGCATTCACTTTGTAGGTTTTATAGCTTACCTTTATGTATTACTGTACCTGCATTTAGAGCTGATTTAATGCCCGTAGATTTATGAAGGCGTATGTTGAATTTGATTAGCTGATCTGCAGCTAATGAAAGCATGTGCCTTTTCATAAAATGTCTTAGTCAGAAAAGGTGCTACCACCTCCGATATTTGAAGGAGGAAGAGGTTTTTACATAAGATCATTTCATCACATCAGAATAATCAATCAGAAAAGAGCTGGAAGGGACCTTGGAGAGCTTTAGTCTAAGCAAGAGACCATACCATTTCAGCTAGGTGGCCGCCCAGTCTCTTCTTAAAAACCTCCAGTGATGAAGCCCCTACCACTAAGGCAAGCTATTCCACTGGTTAATTGTCCTCAGTGTTAGGAAGTTTCTCCTTCATTCCAGGTTGCTTCTCTCCTTGATTAGTTTCCATCCATTGTTTCTTTTCTTGCCTTCTGGTGCTTTGGAAAATAAGTTGACCCCCTCTTCTTTGTGGCAATCTTTCAAATACTGGAATACTGCTATCGTGACACCCCTTTTTTTCTAGACTGGCCATATCCAATTCTGGCAACTGTTCTTCATATGTTTTTGTCTTGGACTTGATCGTCTTAGTTGTTCTTTGCACTTTTTCCAAAGTCTCAATATCTTTTTTGTAACTTGACCAAAACTGGATGCAGTATTCCAGGTGTACTAATACTTCACATGATTTTGATTCTATGCTTCTGTTATACAACCAAAGATTGTGTTAGCTTTTTAATTAAATAATAAGGCTAAAGCATATAAGGAACAGTTGCTGGAATTGGATATGTCTAGTTTAACGAAGAGAAGGACGAGGAAGGACATGATACCAGTCTTCCAATATCTCAGGGGCTGCCACAAAGAAGAGGGAGTCAAGCTATTTTCCAAAGCCCCTGAAGGCAGGACAAGAAGCAATGGATGGAAACTAATCAAGGAGAGAAGTAACCTAGAACTAAGGAGAAACTTCCTGACAGTTAGAACAATTAACCAGTGGAACAACCTGCCTCCAGAAGCGGTGAATGCTCCAACATTGGAAGTTTTTAAGAAGAAACTGGACAGTCATTTGTCCGAAATGGTGTAGGGTTTCCTTTCTGAGCAGGACGTTGGACTCGATGACCTCCAAGGTCCCTTCCAACTTTATTATTATTATTATTATTATTATTATTATTATTATTATTATTATTATTATTATTATTATTTCCAAATTGGGAAACCTTAAGTAATATTAATTTGTGCAAAGTGATCTCAGCTTTGGGTCTTCTACCAGAGGCCTGGGAGTTTGAGGGTTCTGCATAGTACCTTAGCTGTTTCTAGCGCTCCTGGCATCTGCTGAAGCTACTTTCCAGCTTAGAAGTCACAGCCCCAAGTGCTCCTGCTACCATTGGGACTACTTTGGCCTTTATTTTCCACATTCTTTCTAGTGCCTCCTTTAGGCCATGGTACTTTTCCAATTTCTCATACTTTTTCTTCCTGATGTTTATTTATTATTAGATTTTTATCTCATATTTATTACATTATAAGTAACTGAGGCAGTGAACATACATAATGCTCCTTCCTCCTCCTATTTTCCCCACAACAACCACCCTGTGAGCTGGGTTGGGCTGAGAGAGAGTGACTGGCCCAAAGTTACCCAGCCGGCTTTCATGCCTAAGGCAAAACTAGAACTTACCATCTTCTTTCTAGGGCAGCACCTTAATCGCTACACTAAATTGGCACTGCTACAATTATTACAACTTGCATCTTCTGTCTTCTAATCTAACCTTGTCAATTGATGGAGAACACACGTATACACTCACACCAATACACATTGATCGGCAAACGTTTATTTATTCATTCAAAACAGCTAAAATGTGTTTTATAGACAGGCAATAATGGTATTTTTTCCACTATTCTTTTGGCCATAGAATTGTAAACCAGGTTACTATCACTATCCAATTTTACTCTTTATGTTAAGCAGTGTAATTGTTTCAGAGATGGTATACATCAACCTGCATATTTGTTCAAATATTTGGTGGAAGCCAACAAAAGCTTTACTTACACTTTTATTGTAATATAAGAAGTTTCCTTTTTAATGTTCAATGTATTTAGCACAGTGCTTTCCAAACCTTTTTCTTCATTATCCAAAACATTTTACCCAATGTAGGTAAAAACACTTTAAGTCATTGCAATTGGATAATGATTTTGTGTGTCATTACTGCCCCTCCAACCCACTTTTATCCTATTTTGGGTAATTTATCCAGGTTTGAGAAGCACTGGCTTAGATGCAGTTGAGACAAATAAACTACATGTCATGAGGTAAGATTTTTTTTGTCTCTTTTGCTACCTGTTTTAATTTTTGAAAGATTTTCTCATTATTCAAATAATAGTTGCTTTAAAAATGGTTTTGTTTCATGCTCAAATAACGCAAAGCCATAGCGTAAGACTGAGCATTGCATTTAGTGCTTTTGGTTTGTCAGATGACGCAGGATCATTTGATGAAAGCAAGTAGAATAGATTTCATTAGATAGATCTGTACAGCTGAATGGGAAAAGGAAATGATTCTGAGGCAAGGCTTCAGATTATTATTTGTTGTCCTTTTGTTATCTGGGTAGGAATGCTAGAGGATCAAGGCTGTGGGAGTTTAAAGTTAGGTCTTAAAGGATATTAAAGATCGTATCTAGACAATAAATTGTACTGTTAGAATTCGGATAGACTTGCTAGCACATCTGCCTTTGTGAAAGTAATATCAAAACACATAAAATTAAACCATATCCCTGTTTTCATGATCCTTGTGGCTCTCTTATAAAATTATTGCCATTAGAATGTGGAATTTCTAGTAAATCAAGTGTGTTTTGCAGATAGATATGCATAAAGTTAGTTTTAAACTACCGGCATTCTGGATCTAAAATTTGAGGGCCTGGCATTATGACCTCAAAGAATTCTCATAAACTGAGACAAAACATGTATACTACAGTAAGAAAATCTTTCACACACTACTATTATTGTAACCCTGGAAATGAGACGTCATTAAACTTTCATTGTAGCATTCTGTGTGATCAGTTCTTATCTCTTGCTCAGAGGCCTTTTCCTGGTGACAGTTTTTTTGATTTTGTACTTTTTCCAACATCTCTGGGGTCTGACATCTCTAATGTGTGATGTACCTTAAAAGTATGGACTGTGCATAAGTTTTAAACAACACTCTCCCTGCGGTTGCTTCAGTCAGATCCACAAATTGCTGCATTTCTATCAAACGAACAAGATTTCTATCAAACGAACAAGATAGTTCTTGTGTCCTGTTTAATTTGGCCCCAAGAATGGTAGTGCAATTGGGCATGATACAGTTGTTTACCTATCTCTAATTTCCAGCAAGCCTTTCACTACGCCATTTTCAAATCTGTACCTAGAGCATGTTTCAGCCTTTTCTGTTATTTTTTCATACGCAAATGTTGCCAAAGCAAAAAAAAAATATCTGCAATTACATGGGATACAATTAGTTAAGATTAGTTAAAAAAGGTTTTTAAATTATTTCTTATCACAATGTCTTTATAGTTGAGAACTCATACATCTCTGAACATCAGTGTGACAGGACTGGTTGGGGTGGGACACTATAGTTGCTTCCAGCTTGCAAGGCAGCAAATCTCCCAAATCTGTTATCTGTTGTGATGCTACTTATAGTAATAGCAGTTCTTCATCTGTAACATTTTATTTGCAGTTGCCCTTATTCAAGTACCAAATAACTGCTTATAAATTCTTTCAATAGAAGAGAATATGTGTAGCTCAGGATTGAATAGTGATGTCCTTTGTGCTCTCTGAGCTTGACTGTTTGCTTGCAAATGTTTTACTACCCAACGAGGCAATACTAGCATTTGCTAGTAAAAAAGACCAGAACACATCCCCTTCAGCAGACAATGCTCAGATAAAGAGGGATTAATATCAAGCAAATAATCAAGCAGAAAAAAAATATTCCAATCAAGGAACTACTAAGGAGCAAACCACTCTCTCACCAATACTGATAATGCAAGCTACTGTAAATAAACAGGAACCAAACTCCACATTCAATAGCACTGGTGATGTTACCTAGTTTGCATTTCTTTTTTGCAAATGATTTGTCAGGCAAGTGTGTCTGCACAGTTCCCCTTGCCCTCCATTTAGGTTTTTGTAATTGCATATTCCTGGTCAGCTATGCCTGCACATATGTGTGCCCCTTTGTCTCCAATGGGCAGTTTGTAAGGATCAAGAAGGGCACTTGGGAGAGGTGCTAAAGGTTAAGTTTTCATTATTTGGTTTAAATGCAAGTACTTAATTGGTTTGTGTGCTTCTTAAGTAATATGATGCTCCATATCTATTGAACTGGTCAAAGACGACATGGCAATATCTTAATTAGCCACAATAATGTCTATCTTAGGGTTGACATCTTGCATTGTTGGAATTTTTAAACCTTAGTTTTTGGGTTGCAAATGCTTATTTTCCATACTAACTTTGTAACTTTATTTGTGCAGGACTTTTAGAGAAATGAAGTTTATTGATTGGCTGGGATTATACTGTATACCAACCTGTTTTATATATGCATGGATTGATTAATTACTTGTCCC